ATTAAAAATTGTTTAGATATATTTATTTAAACAAAATAAAAATAAAAAACGTCGATTACTTTTTCACACACCTAATAGATATCTTTCAACGAATAAGCTATCTAACTAATAAGTTCTTTAAATCTTTCAACCGTTTGCAAATTGATCGGATTTGGACAAAGATTTACAAACTTTTGAAAACCAACGTTAAAAGAGTTATGTTCTAGAGTTTCTAGTTATGGACTTTTGTCCATGACTGTAAAAGATATTCAGTTTTCATGGGAAATAGCGTAAGAGCGATAGAAGGCATAGAATAGACATTTCGAGTGTCCCCTTCCCCCTTGCCAGAGACATTTTTCTTCTCCGACCAACTTTTCCATTTTTCTTTCTCTTCTCTGCGTTTTTCTTGACGCAAAAAATTTACCAATTTTGGTGTTGTTAGTTTCATTGGATAGAGGAAAGTTAGACGCATCGAATGAAACCAAAAACAGCTCAATTGATAAATTGTGCGTCGAGAAAAACGCAAAATGCCTCTGGCAAGGAGGGCACTTAGGGGCAGAGGGGCAGAAGGGGGGACACTCGAAATGTATAGCATATTTTTTCCAATCCAATCCAATCCAATCCAAGCGAATGAAGTAATTTTTGTAAAATTTCAATAATTTTATTCGAATCGAAGCATTGAAATGCTTTGATTCGAATTTCGTTTTGGGTTTGAAAGCACCGAATTGTGTATGGGATTTTTTGATCACAGAAAGGAGCCATTTCGCTTGACGTGCAAATCTACAAAAAACGTTTAAAGTATATAAGTAAAGTAAATTATGAAACGGCGTGCTTGTGTTTCAAGAAAGAGTGCAAAGCTTTGAAAGTGCAACATTCTTCAATATTTCGGCTTTCACGATGAAATTATTGATGGACAGCGAATTTCGGCAACCAGAATGGAGCCTTAAGGAGCGTTCAATCCAACATATTTTCTTTAATAAGTTTTTCAAAAAGTGTCTTTCTTTTAACTACCGTAATCTTACCTCTAGTCCTTTTATTTGATCACTTTACTTTTGATCTTTTTCTGTACAGATTAATGAAAGTATTGAAAGAGATAAAAGTAGGTTAAGTAAAAAAAAATAGAGCAAAGTTTACCGTAAAAGATATTCAAAGAATTAAGAAAGTTTTAGTTTAGAAAGCATTTCAGAAAGCGCATTTTAGCCTCTTTTATATTGGGTTGATGGAAAAGTCCTTTCCGATTTTTTGGGAGAGTACCTTAAATCTGTCCAATTTAGACGTTTTTTTAGCTCATCCTAAAGCTGAATTCAAGACGGATCGATTGGTAAAAACCGGTTCTGAGATATCTCTTTTCTAAAAGTTTTTACAGCTATTTTAGTAAAAGGCGGCAGAGCCAAAAAATGGCTGTTTTCACGTTTCGTTAGTTTTCCGTGCAGAAACCTAGGCTAAAACCATGTGTTTCGTGATCAGCGTCAAAAATAACCCCTAGGCACGCATTTTCAGAATCTTAGCAAAAATTTTTTGAAAAATATTGTCACCGGTGGAAGTCGAACCCACGACCCTCAGATCAATAGCCTTTCCGCCGCTTTTCGCGGTTTTCCTTCGTTTTTCTCGTTTTTTGAAAAAAGCCTGAAAAAAGCCTTCTAACAACATCAAAAAAAGAGATATCTCAAAACGGTTTTTACCAATCGATCCGTCTTCAATTCAGCTTTAGGATGAGCTATAAAACGTCAAAATTCGACAAATTTAAGGTACTCTCCCAAAAAATCCGAAAGGACTTTTCCATCAACCCAATAGTTTTTTTTTGATTACGATCGCTTTTAAACTTTTTTTTTTTAGAAGACCAATTTTAGAAAACTTCATTACTCGATTTCTCCATTCACTGTCGAAAGCTTTGTTTTCCAGGCTCAGTTCACGTTTTCGGGTTTTCATTTTTTCAGCAAAATAAACCCAAACGCTTTCACCGATCCTCTTCCCAATTTTTCTCTCCAAAAAACGATCCCATGGGAAAAACTTTCCTTAAAATGGGTCTAAAAGGAGAAAAAAATATATAGAAAAAGCCAAAAGTCTCTAGTTGATATTTTGTTCTTCTTTTTTCTTTCTTTCTTTCTTTCTTTCTTTTTTTAAAAACCCTCCCTTCATTTCCCCCAATCCCCATTTTTTCTTGTCCACCAGGAACCCCCTTCTTTTCCACGCGTACCCGAAAAAAACGGAAATGAGGCCCATTTTTTGGTCCATTCTCCATTCGATCTCTTTTTTTCCTTTATCGGGAACAATTCCCCACTAAAAGACCCCCTTTGAGTCTTTTTTTGGGAAAATGGAAAAGGATTGGGATAATTGAGACTAAGTGATTGAAAATGGGATGTCCATTTTTCGGAAAAAAAAACTGAAAATTCTAGCTACAAGGGGACAAGTTTTAGATGCATTACGAATAACGGAGGCCACCTCACAACGATCCGAGCAGTACTAACAAGCTTTCATTTATGAAAGTATAAATATATACACCGGTGACGCCAGATGTGATTTATAGTCACAATTCGACACACACAATACTAGGCTATATCTTCACTTAACCCACGCCTATATTCTCGGCGCCTAATCCCTACTCTTATTGCACGATCTCTAGATTGCTTGTTCTGGCGGTGAAGAGAAAGACGGCTGGATAGGCTTCTTGAGAACCTGGGCCATGAATCGGTCCATTGGGTGATTGAAATCGGGTCTCTAATTCCGTAGAGAGCCACACTGGCGTTGCTCCACCACTAATATGCGGTATATGTGTAAATTTACGCACTTCGGAGCTTTTCCGAGGTTTGAAGTGCCAAAAGCATGCCCGAGTTCTTCAGTCTTCAATTTTTGTCACTCTGCATTACCTGCTCTAGTTACTTGATGTCCTGGGATGTCTTTACGACTACTAGCTTGGTTATGATAACATTTATGAGGGCTACGATTAGAGTGTGCTTTCTAAAAGGCATCTATTTTAGAAAAATAGCGTAGTCAAACCATTTGTTTAGCTCTAATCAGCCTGATTTTGGTATCGTTCAATGAAAGTTGTGATTCCTAATCGAATAATATCAAAATCGGACTGATTAGATGTTAATTGATAGCTTGAATACCGTAGTTTTCTCAAATAGATGCATTTTAGAAAGCGCAGTCCTTGAGAGGAATACATTCGAGATATGGATCACGCTTTAGACCATCCATCGATTCGTCAAATCTTGTAGACGCGTTTACCATTATATCAAAGCTTTTTTGGACGCTGGAAAGATCTAAAGGATAAGGGGAACATCACCATCACCCCATTTTCCCCCATATTCTTCTACATCTTCTACATCTTTTTATCCAACTCTTGCCAATAATCACTTTCCCGATTTATTCTTTTGCTATGTTCTTCTTCGGTTGATCTCTATGGTTCTCCTCCATTTTTCCCTTTTATTTTTTCTTTTCCAGATCTCCCGAAGAGTCACCCCGTCAAGCGGCTGAGGAAAACGGCCGTTCAATGCATAAATTGTTCGTCTTGAAATGGGAAACCAAAAAAAGGGGAAGCGGGGAACCATAGCAAGAAGAATAAAGATCGGGGAAAGGAGAAGATGAAGAATTTCGAGGAAAATTGGTATTGGGGAACGAATTGGTGGAAATGGTAGGTTTTGGAATTTACGAAACTCGAGTCATTTGGAATATTTTCGTTAAAAAAATGTGCCTGTTTTTCTTCAATCAAATCTACATTATTACTAAAAACAAGATTACGGTAGTTTGTTTCTATTCTTCTTCATTTTATTTTCCAAAAAGCGAACTTATTGGAGAAACAAAGTTAATTACGAAAAGCCGAAGCAAACCTTGGAAAGCATTTTTCATTTTTTTGAAAAAACCTTTTAGAAAATGAAGAATAAGGTTTGAAAAAGAAAAAGAAAAAAAAGAAAAGAACTAATTTTCGATGATTTGAACAAAAATGAGGTTAGACTGGGATGGATGAAAAAGAGAAAAAAGGGGCGAAAAAGGATCAAATGTAGATTGGTTTGAAGAAAAATAGGCACATTTTTTAACGAAAATTTTCCAAATGACTCTATGTTTTTGTAAAAAATGATCAATTGTACGTAAACAACATGAATTTCACTAAAAAAACAATCAAATCATTGTTCAAATCTTTCTATAAGTTCATAAAGGTTTTGATTTTTCCTCATTGTCGACATTTTGTCATTCGCGATTCGCTGCGTTGATTTCGAGTCTTTCAAATTTGAATCACTGTGTGAGTGCTGAAAGAAATTGTTGGAAAATTGATAAAGATAAAGAAATTCTTAATTTTATTGACTTACCTACCGTAAATACTGTAATAGTACCCCGCCCTCCTCGTACAGCCCGCGTAGTCGCAGTCGCAGTCGCAGTCGTTTTTTAGTATTTCATTTTTTTCAAAGTGCCCGTACTTTCAAAAAATGTGTCTTTGATATCAAAAAATAGCTGAAATTCAGGGCTATTTTTTGATACCTAAGCGCGCATTGTAGCATAAACCAGTGTCGAGAAAAACTCGCTCAAAGCTAGACTACGCAACGCTCCGCACCGTCATTATGGGGGTGGGGTACTATTACAGTATTTGCGGTAGGTAGGTTTCGAATCTCGAAACCCGAAAGAAAATCTCACATCTTGCAACCTTTTATAAACCTTACGAATCCAATAACTATAACTAACTGTGAACTTAACTTGCAATTCAAGATACATGTATTTAATCACACGGATTTATTCACCAGACCGAAAGAAAATCTTTTGGCAATGATTCAAACAAAATAATGCAAAATAATGATTTCGGGCGCCTTCAAGAGATGAGCTAGTTCAAAGTATCACAGTTGTCAATTCACCAACCCAATAGTAACAGGACACAACGAAATGGAAAATCTATATAAGAAAAAAATTACAATAAACTTTTTCTTTCATGAGCGACCAATACTGTTTTTCCACCACTGTATTTGCGCTCTCCTTTTGTTGAAAATTCAATAGAAAAAGTTTATCGACCCGTTTAAGTTTATCGATTATTACAAATATTGTGCAAGAATTAAAGCAAAAATAGAGAAAATGCCGGGAGAAGCTGTAGAGGATTTTTCGGGATTGAGGTCCATTCTGTAGTTCAAAAGGAAACTGTTTTGTCCAGTCACCGGGAGCCAAAGGATCTGAAGTTACTTGCTTGTTTGGAACTTTCTGCATCTGGCTGTAGATCTTATAAATTGATTACTAACTTGATTGTTTTTATTGAAGTAAACCGTTGTAGACTTTGAATTGAATAGAAACGCTTTTTTTTATGAAAGAGTTTTGTGATTAACTCTAAAACTCTCGAACTTTTTTATTCAGATTAACATGTAATTTAAAGCTTAGAAACCGCAAATTATGAAAAAATATGAATTTAAGCTTAAGCACTCTTCAAAGATCTGAAAAAATGAATTTCGCTGTTGCAACTCAATGCTCATTCCACTCACCTCCATTTTGTACCCATTTCCAGTCCATGTCTTGTTCCAAATCTCTTGATCACTAAATGGCGACTTAAAATGAAAACGTTTTCTTTTACATTTTCAAGGTGTCAACAGCGTTCTTGTTGTCAGTCACTGAAATAGACAAATTCCCGGTGACTCCAGCGAACAATCCGGGTTGCACGTATGGGACGGTGACAGTGAACTTTGGCTGAGATGTCTGTACTGAGGTGTCACCTGGGAATTTTGTTTCCATTATTGCATCTCAATGTTAGTACAAAGAAAGTGAAAAAGTGAAGAAGAACCCACTCGACAATGTGGCCTTAACAAATTTGCCAGTCATAAACGGCAGATAGTTATCGTAGTTGCCCGGATAATTGGGTGTCATCACGAAACCGTTTGAGCCATCTTTCAGCTTTGTGTCCATATCATCTAACATTGTTTCTACTCAAAAATCGATTCAAACACTAACCACCCAATCGTGTGATATCGGCGCTAAAGTAACAATTCGGTGGAACGATCAGGGTGGCTGCTGGCGACATCAAAAGGGAACGAACAAAACCTTGTACATTTGAATCACTAAAGGAAACGAGTTAATTTAACCAGTGGCCCAATCTTCCTGATGCAAGAACAGTTACTCAAGACGTCTTTTTTTTCGACCAACTCACTCAAAGCTATAGATTCTCATCTTGTTCACCGTTTGCGGAATACCCGACACATAAAGAGTCACGCTTGAGCCAGCCGACTAAATTTTATAATGATTAGTTTCATTTCATCACTCACCTTATTAACATTTCCAAAGAACATAAGTTGATTGCTGAACTGAGAGATGGTAACTGCTTGGGTGTTGTTTTTAGCCGGCACAACGATTGTTGTTGTCACATTCTCCAAGACGTTGATCAAAGTGTAATCAGCGAGTGCCGGTGGATAGCTACCATCTGAAATTCAATGAAAATAAAACTTATAATAGCTTCTAAATGTCAAAAAGGTAACATGTTGCCTGGTTATGCACAATTTTTGCAGGTTTAGCTTTTACGATATTTAGCAGACCTGAACTAGGCCTGATTTTGGGCAGAGAGTCGGCCTGGCTCTCTGCCTTAGGCACAGGCCTTTAAAAAGGTCGAAAAAGCCCGAGCTTTGGCCTTCCATCAAGCCCAGGCCGGCACAAGCCCTTAAAAACATGTCTACTTACTTGCAAAGCTAGTGAAAGCCGCCAAAAACTCGGACGGGACGGCCTCTCGGATATATGGACGCATTAATTGGTTCGTGGGCGGATTCTCTGATATATGCACGTAATTTTGGAAAATACGGGGCGATTTGGCCAGGTCGCTCAAACTAAATTGCATTCAATTTAAGATCGTATCCGTTTCCTTCAAAAATCATGTTCCTATTTGCATTTAATTTGCTTTTTCGTCTCATTCCCCCCCCCTTTCATTTCTTTTTTCCCTCGAGTTTTGAGTTTTGTAGTTTTTTTTTTTGGAGTTTTCCCCTCGTTCTTTTACGATTTGATGCTTCTCTTCAGCTGTTTTTTTGTCTCGTTGCCTTTTCTTTCTGTAGTGTACTAAAAAGGCCATTCTCCAACACGACAACACCAGTTCACAAACGGCAAAGTTGACCCGCAGTAAAGAATGATCTTTAGAGAATGATTTCGAGACGTTTTCATGTTAAATTTGAATCTCTGCCGCAAATTTTATCTGCATTCCAATTGACGTCGCATTCCAATTGACGTCGCATTCCAATTGACGTCGCATTCCAATTGACGTCGCATTCCAATTGACGTCGCATTCCAATTGACGTCGCATTCCAATTGACGTCGCATTCCAATTGACGTCGCATTCCAATTGACGTCGCATTCCAATTGACGTCGCATTCCAATTGACGTCGCATTCCAATTGACGTCGCATTCCAATTGACGTCGCATTCCAATTGACGTCGCATTCCAATTGACGTCGCATTCCAATTGACGTCGCATTCCAATTGACGTCGCATTCCAATTGACGTCGCATTCCAATTGACGTCGCATTCCAATTGACGTCGCATTCCAATTGACGTCGCATTCCAATTGACGTCGCATTCCAATTGACGTCGCATTCCAATTGACGTCGCATTCCAATTGACGTCGCATTCCAATTGACGTCGCATTCCAATTGACGTCGCATTCCAATTGACGTCGCATTCCAATTGACGTCGCATTCCAATTGACGTCGCATTCCAATTGACGTCGCATTCCAATTGACGTCGCATTCCAATTGACGTCGCATTCCAATTGACGTCGCATTCCAATTGACGTCGCATTCCAATTGACGTCGCATTCCAATTGACGTCGCATTCCAATTGACGTCGCATTCCAATTGACGTCGCATTCCAATTGACGTCGCATTCCAATTGACGTCGCATTCCAATTGACGTCGCATTCCAATTGACGTCGCATTCCAATTGACGTCGCATTCCAATTGACGTCGCATTCCAATTGACGTCGCATTCCAATTGACGTCGCATTCCAATTGACGTCGCATTCCAATTGACGTCGCATTCCAATTGACGTCGCATTCCAATTGACGTCGCATTCCAATTGACGTCGCATTCCAATTGACGTCGCATTCCAATTGACGTCGCATTCCAATTGACGTCGCATTCCAATTGACGTCGCATTCCAATTGACGTCGCATTCCAATTGACGTCGCATTCCAATTGACGTCGCATTCCAATTGACGTCGCATTCCAATTGACGTCGCATTCCAATTGACGTCGCATTCCAATTGACGTCGCATTCCAATTGACGTCGCATTCCAATTGACGTCGCATTCCAATTGACGTCGCATTCCAATTGACGTCGCATTCCAATTGACGTCGCATTCCAATTGACGTCGCATTCCAATTGACGTCGCATTCCAATTGACGTCGCATTCCAATTGACGTCGCATTCCAATTGACGTCGCATTCCAATTGACGTCGCATTCCAATTGACGTCGCATTCCAATTGACGTCGCATTCCAATTGACGTCGCATTCCAATTGACGTCGCATTCCAATTGACGTCGCATTCCAATTGACGTCGCATTCCAATTGACGTCGCATTCCAATTGACGTCGCCGCCATTTGGAGGTAGTCGGTAGGAGCGCCGCGTCGTCGTTTATTTTTTCTTTCCAAGTTATTTTTTTGTCAGATTAATTGAAATTATTATTTTATGCGATAAATTTTGTGTTTCTCTTTGAAATGAAAAAGAGATCTATTTCTAATTGGGAGCCGAGTGGAGAATCCGGAATTTTTCGTAATCGGACCACAATGAAGGCCAAAACTAATTGTAAAATGGTTTGTGGAGTTGAATGGAAACAACAAAAGCAAAGCTCATTTTCTGGACCGATCTCCTCAATCCACGAGTTGAACCCGGAACGCTTACCCCATCCGCCATATTCTCCTGACCTAAGTCCTACAGATTACCATCTTTTCCGATCGATGTAACACGCCCTGGATGGAAAGCACTTTCAAAATGAAGAAGATCTCAAAAAGTGGCTCCAAGACTATCTTGACTTGAAACCAAAAATTTTCTATGAGAGGAGAATCCGCGAATTGTCAGTAAAATGGGTGAAAGTCGTCGCAAATAATGGAGATGATTTCGATTAAACTGCTCTTTTGATTGTCATTAAATATTGTTTTCAATTTGGGGTCAAGACTTAGTTTACAATCTAATAATAAACCGTAAAATGATAAATCCGATCTGCTTTAAACTACCTTTAAGGTTCTAAATTTTGTTTAGATAGCTAAAATTATAGAAAGAGTTTGCTTATATTTATGTTGCCATCGAGAAAGCGTCAATTTGTTGTGTGTTCGTATCACGAGCATTAACCTTGCTGGATGTTGCGTGTTCTTGTTATATAGTGAGCGTTTTGGGAGAAACCCGCTTAAGCTTTTGCTATTCGGTTATTCTGAAGCAAAATCATGCCCGATGATAAAGCTGGTCACATCCCGAATTCTAGAAAAAAACAATTCACCAAACCTGTAGCGTTGAGTGGCGTCACTGAAATAGACTTCAGAGTTTAGACTCAGAATTTTCACGTTCACTTGGATGTTCAGGCCTGAGGCAAGGATTTGTTTCGCTCTCTGAATGAACTAGAAATTAACGAGAAACGAGAAACGAATAAAAGTTACGGTGTCTTGAAATCGAGAGCGGAGAATCAACGGATCATTGTCGATAGAAAAGTATTCAGTCGTCGGGGCTTCGTACAACCATTTCATCAAAAAGCCTTGATTTCCAATGCCTTTTGGGGTGTAGTTTATCTGGAAAATGATTAATATGATTAAGACAGCTATTCTCTATAGAATTTTCTATAGAAGCTCAGCCCAGTCATTATTCAATTCAAAGGAACTATAAAGGAACTTTAAAGGAACCAAATAGGAACTATAAAGGAATTATAAAGGAGCTACAAAGGAACCAAATAGGAAGTCAGAAAGTCAAGAAGTCACCCTTTCAATAGCGTCACTTACCGACAAAACATGACCGACACCATTGATTGGAGTGGTTGCACGGGTGTTGTTGGTCCTGAAACGGTTCTTTGCCTTCAAGTTTTCAATGATAATGTAAATTCAATGTAAAACGTACACATTCATACTTGCAACAATTGCATTCTGCTCAAGAATCTGAAAGCTCAACGATCCACTATCACCGGGATAGACATCATAGGCACTGGCGGTGATCGGATAAGTGCTCAGACCGGTGCCTGAATTTCATGCTATAGCTGAATTTTCAAATGTACAGCTTTTATCGTAGACGTACCCAACTTTAGACACTTTAGAACTTTAGACACTAAAGCTTTACCATTGATGACTTGTTGGAACGGTTTCACGGGCTCTTTTCGACTAAAAGTTGTCCCTGGAAACTCACAGCTCACCACCGAGCCTCGCATCTTGTCACTCGGGGAAATAGCTGTTGAGCCTAAAAAGCAAGATGCTATGTTACTTTTACTTTGTAAATTTTACTAACCTTTAGGTCTATCTAAGAGATAGAAACTCGTTGAGCACTGCGGTTTCAACAAAAACGTATAGTACGGGCCGGAGAGAATTGGGAAGACATAATTGGTGGAATCGCTGAAACATTTCGCGATTGACGAGTCATTTTTGAAGATAAAAGTGAAAACAACATACGAAACGGCATCGATCTCCGAATTTGTGGTTGGAGATGCTCCAGCGTACATGTACAGGATGCATTTCGGGTCCTGTAACAAGTTTTTTTCTTTTTTTTTTCACAACTCACAATTTGAACGCTTTGCATGACAAACTCGTGACAATCCTCTTTCGAATATTTTTGATTGATAATTGTGAGCATTGTCGATGTCGAGTTGCTGACGAGAGAGCTCATGAGATAATATGGGGAAAGCGAGGAGTTCTTTTCATCGAATAGATTCAAGTTGTAGTCATCGAAACCAGCGAGAGCTGTCTCGTTTTCTAAAAATGAAACTTTACAACTTTATTGAGATTACATTTTTTTTTGTTCCCAACAGCATCACCAATGCTATACTGTAGTCAATTTGAAACTTCTCATGAGATTATCGTCTTATTCCTAATAGGGAAAAGACGATAATCTCATGATAATCTCGGCTTCCTACCGAGTAGTTAGACTAAAAGTTAAAAGCGAAATTTTGACGCAAATTAAGAACCCGCTTTCAAAAAAGCCAAGCAACTTACCCCCAGGAATGATAGCAAACGAAAGATAAAAGTCCTTTGTCGAGTTCTTGCCAAGTCTGATCACTATCGGCACCTGAAGTCTCAGCCCTTGTCCACCATTTTGTTTCACATCCGTTTGACTGAACTTTATCAATAAAAGCTTTTTCTAGAAGTAAATCTTACTCAAAATAAAGCGTATGAGATATGAGTGTGAATGATGTGTTGCTGTAGTTGGGGAAAAGTCCATTGATTTGTACCCAAGTCTCTTCATCAGAGGTCACTGTCACCGTCGATTGAAAATTGTAATCGTTGAGATGGTGATCATTATTCATTCAATTTCCTTTTTTTGAACCATGTAAAATAAACTACATGATCTTCAGCTGTATGCCGAATGATTTTAGTGAATTTAAAGGTTGCATAAAAGACTTTAGCGGACTTCTAGCTGACTTCTAGCTGACTTTAGCTGACTTTTTCTATAAGTGACTTTAAAACGAATACTACCGAGATTTTTGGGTGATTCCAATTCTCGAAAAGAGGCATCTCTGCAACTTTCTATAACTTTTTTCATTTTTGAGTGATTTCAACGTGTTAACTATTGGGTTGGTGAAGTGAAAACTGCCGGACTTTGAACTAAAATTTTGAACTAAAATTTTGAACTAAAATTTATTGAACATAAAACCATGAATTCATTCGAAATAATTTCCATTATTATTGACGACTTCTGCCCATTTTACAGGCAATTTGCGGATTCCTCTTTCGTAGTAGGATTTTGGTTTTGAATCGAAAAACTTTCAAAGCCAATTTTTGACTGCTTCTTCCGAATCGAAGTGTTCTCCCGCAAGCTCATTACTCATGATCCGGGAATAAATAGTAATCAAAAGGAGAGTCGTCCGGACTGTATGGGGGATGCGCCAAAAGTTCCCAAACAAGGCTATTTATTTTAGAGCGAGTCAGTTTTGCGACATGAGGGCGCGCGTTGGCGTGGATGAGAACGATCTTTGACTTGGAGGGCCTATTCTTCTTCATGGATTCATTCACCTTTCCCAACTGTTCACTGTATTTGATTGCATTAACGGTCGTCTTTCTATCCAGCAACTCCCAATACAAGTGTGTGAGACAAGTGTGAGACTCAAAAATGGAGGACTGGAGATGTCCTAGTTTGAGCTTTCTTCAAAAGAAACCCATTTTGGTGTCAATAGAAAAGTTGTAGAGAATTAAAAATGAGGGTTATAGCCAAATTTCCAAAAAGATACACTTAGTAGTTTCGCTTAAAATGCAAGTTTTGTGAAAGTTTCGTAAATTTGGCATTTCCTGAAAACCAGTTTTTGAATCGTTCTCAAAATTTGGATATAAGCTTGATTTTTGATTCTCTACAACTTTTCTATTGACACCACAATGGGTTTCTTTTGAAGAAAGTGCTCAAACTGTCACATATGACAATAACCGGCAATTTTCAATTCACCAACCCAATACCTTTTCCTGTTCTCATCAAGAGCTTGTTGCTCTTGATGAGAACTAAAATGGTACTAAAATCACCGTAATAGATCAAAATCTAACAAAAAAGAACCAAGTTCTATAGTTTTTGAATTATTCCGGTGATTTTCGTACCATTTTTTAGCTCTAAATGAGAGCAAAAGCGGTAGTAAAATCGTCGAAATCGGTCAACAATGAAGGAAAATTATAGCAAGTTGCGGAAATACCTCTTTGTGAGAATTGCACCCGCCTGAAGTCCACCAAATCCTGATAGTCATTTACAGCATAGATTCTTCTTTTTTTTTAGTATTTGATGTGTGTTGAAGAATAAAGCAATAAAATAAATCAAGCTAATCAACTCACATTCTCATCCATATCCGTCCCGTACAAGATAAATGATGGACTTTGCGTGTCCAATGGATAGCTCACATTAACACCTGAAAGATGATTGAAAAAAATTGAGAAAAACAATTACCTTCACTGAATTCAAAAGAAAGAAACAAGATAAAGAATAGAAATTTCATAGTTTCCAATTGTTGCAGACTTGATTTTTGTATAAAGAGGAAGGGGGAAATTTTATAGTAAAGGCTCTTATCAAAGCTGAAAAAAAGATGAAAAAAGGGGTGAAAGAAGTCGTCAAGTCGATGACACAGCGATGAGCACGCTTACAATGTCTCTTATAATCTTTGGTGCCATTATTTTGAATGTTTCAAAACGCTTGCACGTCGATAAGACATCCTGTTTTTTGGCCCCTAGTAAACTCATTGTGATTACACTCTCAGCAAGTGATAAAATACACCAATTATTGGTATGTTTTTGGAAAATTACAGGCTTGGAAATTACCCAGACAAAAGTTCTTTGTTGTAACTTAGACAGCCAACAACAACAGCCATATACAGCCAACTTCTCCATAGTATAAGTTTTATTCATTCCTTAACCTATTGGGATATTGAAAAGAATCAAGAATCTCTCGTGCCACTGTCGATAATTTTGAATATTTTTCGACGACCACATGCACTAGATTCTTCGTCATAATCCGGGCGTTCCTCGTAACAAAAGTGTAATATTTTCTTAGTTACTTCTAGAAACAACCAAATATGCTAGTCAAAAGGTGTTACCTCAAATGGTTGAAGAAGCCGTAGTTTGACTGCTAGTGGATCCGAATTAAGATCAAAGAGTTCGAGCACACTAACCACTCGCGTTTTGCCGATTCGTGGTTTTTGAAAACAGTTTCTGGACGTACATTTTCAGGCCTTTCTTTTGGCACCTACCTCATATTGTAACTCGCGGGTAACTTGGGAAGGTTCCCTTGTTAGTTCCTTCTAGAAACAACCAAATATGCTAGTCAAAAGGTGTTACCTCAAATGGTTGAAGAAGCCGTAGTTTTTTTATGAGGTGGTCCGTCAAGAAGTATATCCCACTGGGTTTGCTTTCGGGATTTCTTTCATAGATGCACCCTCAAAAACAAATTTCTGACCTATTTTAGGTATTATTTGTCTAGCTTAATAAACTAACCGTAACATTGCTTTGGTCAACTTTAGCTTATCCCCAGGTAAAAAGGTGTTGTGTTCATAAGTACCCAAAAAACTTTCTCGTATAAACTCTTCAAGTGTAGGAATCTCATCAAGAACACAACAGAAACAAAGTTCTGATTGCAAACATGATCATTCAGCTTTTTTTCCTCTTGAATTCTCCAATTTTGCTCACAGATCACTCGAGTTGTTAGCCGGGTTTTTCGAAACAAAAATTTGAATGTTGTCGCTTTCAATTTTGAGCTTTTCTGTTGTCCGCACACAAAAGATTATCGCCGAATGGAGTTCCCACTTTTTCAAGCAATAGCCAATTTTTGATGTGGCGCTTTGCCTAAACAAGAACATCAGCCTCAACACAAATTATTTATAAAGCCATAATTGAAGTTTAATTTCACTTTTATGGCTCTTTACTGGATTTTCGTCCTTCTCGGATTTGTTCCCGTTTCTCATCAGACATGCTCGTGCTTGAATGATTCTTTGATTTTTCTGCATTTCAGTGGAGCTGTACAGACGAAGATTTTGAATGTAAGTCAGCAAAAAAAAAGTTAATAATTATATTCGTTAATTATAGCGTTAAATATTCGTAGACCTCGAGAGACGGCTGGTCCCAAAAACCGGTTACTTATGAGCATTTTAACAGACGAAAAAGTTCACACTGTTATCGCGCCTTCAGCCTTCACCACTTTCAAAATCACTAACTAGGGAAAGGCACGAAATTCCCGTGAGCTTTCGTTTCTGGATCACATACATCTTACTAAATCGAGTATGGAGATTTTAATCTGAAATCATAATCTGCCAGGACTTTAAAGCATTGAGGAAAATTGAATTAAAGCTTTAAAGGGCGCTTTTCAATCACTTCAACCTGGGACCGATGGCCTAGTGGACAGTGGGATGGCCTTTCGGTCGTTAGTTCGGGGTACGGTCCCGCCCTTTATTTGGTTTGGTTCTTTTTGGTTTTTTTTCTTTACGTGTAATACTTTACCTTGTAATTATTCAAAATAATAAAGTCAAAGGTGAAATGTTAACATATATGAAACGAGATCATGAAGCATCCAAAAAAATGGAAATTTTCACAATGCGAACTTCTGATAAGAGTAGATTTTTGCGTTTTTTTTTTTGAAATTTTGATTTATTTACATCACAATGAGCAATGAACGGTTAAAAACCTGTAAAGTATTACTTTTGAAGAAAAAAACCCAAAAGCAAGATCGAGGGCCACGTTCCCGTGGTCCAAGTGATTGAAAGCGCCCTTTAAAGCTTCGAATTTCAATTCAATTTTTACGCGTTTCCAAGCTTACTTGGCAGATTATGATTTCAGATTAAAATCTCCATACTCGATTTAGTAAGATGTATGTGATCCGGAAACGAAAGCTCACGGGAATTTCGTGCCTTTCCCTAGTAAGAGTCAAGCTGCCAATCTCAGGCTCACAACACGCTGCGTTCGCAAATTGCTCGCGGACTTTACAAATCATCGAATGGAACGGTCTTTGTGACGGCGACAAATATGTTGAAATTGGTGGGTTATTGACAAGGAACCATTCTGCAACTCGGGCGCTGAACCCTTTTAACTCGATTATTTTTTGTTTAACATCAATAATCTGATTGATCCCATAAACGATCCGCTCTTTCGCTTTGTACTTATCGCTTTGTACTTATCGGCGTTTGCAACTTGCCCCTGCTTTTAATTTGCGCAATTAAAAGCAGGAGCAAGTTTCAAAAAAACTGACTAAACATTTGAGAGGGTCAAAAAATTGGTAAGAATTGATGCTTTTTTAGAAAAGTGAAACGGTTTTGAAATTGGCTATTGTTAATTTTATAAAGTTAATTAAAGTTGTCATTCAATCAAGCAAACTTTAGACCTGGAATGCCACGTTGACGCACTTTGCCGCCATCAATTCGCTCAGATGTCAATCGGGTGCTGGAGACGGTTTATGCATTTTCGTTCAGCCCAACGGATCACCGGATACTATTGGTTTTTCAACAAACAATACAAGTAACTTTTATCCAGGCACCACGGCGACCACGAAATGGGCAAATGAATTCAAAACGTATGGTCCAATGGGTTATGTGACAAGTGACAAGACGATAGCGGCTGTTTCGGTTTGGATTGAAAGAGTGTATCGCTTCAGCAAGTTGGCTTCATGATAGTTCATTTTTGACGACTCCAGTGTTGAGTCGTTAAAATTTTTAATTTTATCAACCATCAGCTTGTAGAATGCGGCTTTCGGAATTTGGGTCCTCTTTTTTCGCTTGAAGAAGCTGTTGAATTTCTCGTAGAAGCGTGAATCCATTTGTAAAATCACAACGTAAAATAGGGTAAACAGCATAAAAAAAACAAACAAAATACAGAAGCATGTCAAAGCGCGTAAATAAACTACTTTTTTTGGGCAAACGTGTAAGCGGATATTCGATTTGGATTTGAATCCAAATCGGATATCTGCTTTGGATTGAAACATTATTTCACAGTAGGGTATCATATTCCTTAAATGTTTTCAATCATTTTCTAGAAATTTTCTAGAGGTTTAACTCTGGCAACGAAAAAAAAAGGCTTTCCTTTATTTTGATGTGAATTCAGATCAAAACCCTTTGTTTAGTTTGGATTTGGATTCAAATCCAAATCGGATATCCGCGGTGAGTTCAATCCAAATCGGATACAACATATATAAAGCAGAAGAGACCTCTGTCCGTCCGTATGTGCGCAGCCATTGGCAAAAAGAGGAGGGGCTTAGATTGCGTGGAAAACGCGAACGTTAGTAAGCGTTTTCCGCTAGTTTTATACAAATCCTAGTTGCAGTTGGAAGTTGGGCCTCAAAGTCACTTCTACACAAGTAAGGGAACGCAAAATCCATGACCATGCCTTGTTTTTGAGCCTTGGGATGGCTCAGATTCTTTTAACTGAATGAAAAAGTTCTTCGGAAGTTCTAGCGGACAATTTAAGAAACTATATGGATATCCGGCCTTTTGATTTATAGCACGGATAAATCTTCTTTTCTTGACCATCCTCAGAAAGTAAAAGAAATAGAGGTGAGCAGAGCCGACCTTAGCCAACACTTTTGGAAAACAACTTTGACCCAACTTAAAATCTTTTTTTGAGAGAGAGAAATTTTTTAGGACTATTTCAAAAACTAGCTAATACTCAATAATTTTCAGATGGCCTGGGCACGGACCCAATCCGTCGGTTGTGCCTATTCGATGTGCATGAATGGAACACAAAGCGTGACCGCGATGGTGTGTGCCTATTATCCAATGTGAGTTCCCAAACAAATAATGCTTATTTTTTTTTGAAAATTTTCTTTTTAGTGGCACTGTGGGTAAACAACTGATTTATTTCCAAGGCCCTACTTGCTCGAAATGCCCCAATGGGACGGCTTGTGTGCCTGCTAGTGGACTTTGTGTGTAAATGTTTTTGAAAATAATAGTTTTTTCTTTCAAAATTTTAAACATTTAACAACATTTAAACATTTGAGTGATTTGTGTGGTCTTTGCGTGTTTCAAATGTGCGTAAGAAAGTTTATTGTTATCGGTGACCCATGAGAGAAATTATCTATGTAACAATTGTAACAAAACAATACAACAAAACATAAACAAGTTGAAAGAGATGATTGACGAAATTATCAAGAAAAAGAGTCTGTAAAAAAAGATCAGCACAAAGAAATCCATTCTCGAACTTCAAAAGCAACCAATCAACATTTCAAAGCCTTTTTCTTCACGAAAAAGTAAGACAATGATTTTGTACTTCTCGTGTAATCGTGACCGAGCCATATTTGCGATTTGCGAGGAATTTCTTAGGAAAACTTCCGATTCTCCGACTTCTCTTCAAAAAAAACACTCAAAACCAATTAAACATCTTACCGATATCGATCTCTTGTTAAAATAAAAGATTTCCTTTGAAAATCCTGGGAAGATCTTCTCCACAACTGGCTGGATCACTGAAACATTGACAAGAGGCTCAAAACATTTATGCCAGTTTGACGGTGATTACGCGTCATTTCGCAGCTAATTTTTACATCAATAGAATCAGCGTTAAATTCTTCATCAAATGGTCTATACGCACAAAGTTACAGCCATTTGAAAAAAGTGAAAGCTTTTCTCGAATTTCTGGCACACTGATTTTTGCCGGCGGAAAGGCTTTCCTTTCACCATCCCAAGAGTCAGCTCGTAGCCTGGTGGTTAGTGTGCCGGAACTCTTTGATCTTGGTTCGGATCCACTACCAGTCAAACTTTTTGCTTTTTTTGAAAAACATTAAAAACCTTTTTGATTATTAGAAATTTGTATAACAATTTATTTAAAAGAAATTAAGCAAAAAATTAAAAATCAAGGGTAATTAGCAATTGAGCAAAAATGAACAACCTGAAATGCGTAATTAAAACACTAACTTTAAGAGCAATGTGCACAGAGTATGAAATTAATATTATTGCATCCGTTTTCTTCACAATCGCGCTTATTTGTCTTGTTAAAGAGATACTCCGTCGGAGTTTCCCGAATGTTGAGGGATGCATCCTGCTCGGAACCATGCATATTGACGAAACTTGAAAAATACTGGAGCTTTAAGCTGCTCATACACAACCGAAAGAACTTTAATGATATTGTCTCGCTTGTTGATCTTGAAATCCGGGTTTGCTGGCTCGAATGTGATCGTGAATTTTTCCATTACGCCTTTAAATTGTTGAAAGAAGTAAAAATCCAATGGTTCAACGAGTCCTTTACACCCCGCTTAAACTCGCCTTGTCAATCATTAATTAACATTATACAAATTTCTAATAATCAAAAAGGTTTTTTAATGTTTTTCAAAAAAAGCAAAAAGTTTGACTGCTAGTGGATCCGAATAAAGAACAAAGAGTTCCGAATGCAGGCACACTAACCACTAGGCTACGAGCTGACTTTTGGGATAGCGAAAGAAAAGCCTTTCCGCCGGCAAAAATCAGTGTGCCAGAAATTCGAGAAAAGCTTTCACTTTTTTCAAATGGCTGTAACTTTGTGCGTATAGACCATTTGATGAAGAATTTAACGCTGATTCTATTGATGTAAAAATTAGCTGCGAAATGACGCGTAATCACCGTCAAACTGGCATAAATGTTTTGAGCCTCTCCTTTTAAGCCGATTTTTTAAACACAAACCGTTGATCGGTGTTTGGTTGCTTGTAGCGTTTGATTGTTTGATTGCTTGTACAGAAAGCTGGGGATCAAGAGTTCGAACCTGAGCCGTCTCCTGATTTTGCTTTTTTTTTCCATTTTACGTTCTTTTGTGCCTGCGGCGCTGCTCGTTTTTTATAAAGTTTAAGGTTAAATATCTTTTGCAAAATGCATTATTGGCCAGCATTATCTGAAATAAAATTTACTTAAAATTATATAACGAATTTTTTGAAACCAAACTTATGACTGAGGTCTTTTTCGGAAAAGGGCATAACTCAAAAACCAGAAGACCTCTTGTAAAATATTCGCTGTTCATGATGTGGTGAGTGCTTCGAATTTAAATGATATGAGCAAATGTTTCGACTTAAATGTGCATCGTTTGGTCACTGCATCTGATCACCAACGCCAATCTCCATTTGAGTTAGCGAACGTGACAATTGCAGAGGAAATTCCTGATATCTCTGCTTATTCAGGTGCGGCAAGGTTATGGAAAACAATAGTTTTTCGTGTAACTAAATCTAACTCAATAGCTATCGACAAACGGTTTTCTGGGTCGAATTCAGAAGCCTCGAATTAGTCTAGAATACTTTTAGACTGATCGAAAATTCAGTAAAGAGCCATAAAAGTGAAATTAAACTTCAATTGTGACTTTATAAATGTTTTGTGTTGAGGCTGATGTTCTTGTTTAGGCAAAGCGCCACATCAAAAATTGGCTATTGCTTGAAAAAGTGGGAACTCCATTCGGCGATAATCTTTTGTGCGCGGACAACAGAAAAGCTCAAAATTGAAAGCGACAACATTCAAATTTTTGTTTCGAAAAACCCGGTTAACAACTCGAGTGATCTGTGAGCAAAATTCGAGAATTCAAGAGGAAAAAGAAGCTGAATGATCATGTTTGCAATCAGAACTTTGCTTCTGTTGTGTTCCTGATGATATTCCTACACTTGAAGAGTTTATACGAGAAAGTTTTTTTACCCTTTTTTACCTTTTTACCTGGCGATAAGCTAAAGTTGACCAAAGCAATGTTACCGTTAGTTTATTAAGCTAGACAAATAATACCTAAAATAGGTCAGAAATTTGTTTTTGAGGGTGCATCTATGAAAGAAATCCCGAAAGCAAACGACCAGTGGGATATACTTCTTGACGGACCACCTCATAAAAAACTACGGCTTCTTCAACCATTTGAGGTAACACCTTTTGACTAGCATATTTGGTTGTTTCTAGAAGTAACTAAGAACATATTACACTTTTGTTGACGAGCAACGCCCGGATTATGACGAAGAACGGACCACCTCGTAAAAAAACTACAGCTTCTTCAACAAACAAGAAATCCCGGAAGCAAACATGATTATTTAGCTTTTTCTCCTCTTGAATTCCCCAATTTCGTTCACAGATCACTCGAGTTGTTAGCCGGGTTTTTCGGAATAAAAATTTGAAAGTTGTCGCTTTCAATTTTGAGCTTTTCTGTTGTCCGCACACAAAAGATTATCGCCGAATGGAGTTCCCACTTTTTCAAGCAATAGCCAATTTTTGATGTGGCGCTTTGCCTAAACAAGAACATCAGCCTCAACACAAATCATTTATGAAGCCATAATTGAAGTTTAATTTCACTTTTATGGCTCTTTATTGGATTTTCGTACTTCTCGGATTCGTACCCGTTTCTCATCAGGCATGCTCGTGCTTGAATGATACTTTGCTTGAGCTGCGTTTCAGTGGAGCTGTACAGACGAAGATTTTGAATGTAAGTAAGCAAAAAAAAGTTAATAATTGTATTCGTTAATTATAGCGTTAAATATTCGTAGACCTCGAGAGACGGCTGTACCTAAAATCGGTTACTTATGAGCATTTTAACAGACGAAAAAGCTCACACTGTTATCGCGCTTTCAGCCTTCACCAGTTTCAAAATCACTAACTAGGGAAAGGCACGAAATTCCCGTGAGCTTTCGTTTCCGGATCACATACATCTTACTAAATCGAGTATGGAGATTTTAATCTGAAATCATAATCTGCCAGGTAAACTTGGAAACGCGTCAAAATTGAATTGAAATGTCGAAGCTTTCAAGGACTTTCAGAATTGAAGAAAATTGAATTAAAGCTTTAAAGGGTGCTTTTCAATCACTAGGAGCTCGGGAGCGATGTCCTAGTGGACAGTGGGATGGCCTTTCGGTCGTTAGTTCGGGGCACGGTCTCGATCTTGGTTTTGGGTTTTTTTCTTCAAATCTAATACTTTACAGGTTTTTACCCGTTCATTGCTCATTGTGATGTAAAACATAATTTTTAAAAAAAAACGCAAGAAACGCACGCACTTTGCTCTTATCAGAAGTTCGCATTGGGAAAATTTTCATTTTTTTGGATGCTTCATGATCTCGTTTCATATATGTTAACATTTCACCTTTTGCTTTGTTATTTTGAATAGTTACAAGGTAACGTATTACTTTTAAAGAAAAAAACCAAAAACAAAAAGCGGGACCGAGGCCCGATCTTACGACCGAGGAGCCATCCCACTATCCACTAGGCCATCGCTCCCGAGGTCCAAGTGATTGAAAAGCACCCTTTAAAGCTTTAATTCATTTTCCTTCAATGCTTTAAAGTCCTTTAAAGCTTCGAATTTCAATTCAATTTTTACGCGCTTCCAAGCTTACTTGGCAGATTATGATTTCAGATTAAAATCTCCATACTCGATTTAGTAAGATGTATGTGATCCGGAAACGAAAGCTCACGGGAATTTCGTGCCTTTCCCTAGTAAGAGTCAAGCTGCCAATCTCAGGCTCACAACACGCTGCGTTCGCAAATTGCTCGCGGACTTTACAAATCATCGAATGGAACGGTCTTTGTGACGGCGACAAATATGTTGAAATTGGTGGGTTATTGACAAGGAACCATTCTGCAACTCGGGCGCTGAACCCTTTTAACTCATTATTTTTTGTTTAACATCAATAATCTCGCTCTGATTGATCCCATAAACGATCCGCTCTTTCGCTTTTTACTTATCGGTGTTTGAAACTTGCTCCTGCTTTTAATTAGCGCAATTAAAAGCAGGAGCAAGTTTCAAAAAAACTGACTAAACATTTGAGAGGGTCAAAAAATTGGTAAGAATTGATGCTTTTTTAGAAAAGTGAAACGGTTTTGAAATTGGCTATTGTTAATTTTATAAAGTTAATTAAAGTTGTCATTCAAACAAGCAAACTTTAGATCTGGAACGCCACGTTGACGAACCAAGCCGCCTTCTATTCGGTCTCATGTGGATCGGGTGGTGGAGCCGGTTTAAGCGTTTTCGCTCAGCCCAACGGATCACCGGATACTATTGGTTTTTTCAACAAACGACACAAGTAACTTTTATCCAGGCACCGCGGCGACCACGAAATGGGCAAATGAATTCAAAACCTATGGTCCAATGGGTTATGTGACAAGTGCCAAGACGAGAGAGGCTGTTTCGGTAAAAATCTACTATACAGGGTGCGCCATAATTACCCGCACAACATTTCATAGGCAGGCCCACATTGTTAAAAGTGTTTTTCTTTCCTTTCTTTTTACTGAACAACATTCTTTTGTAGTTCTTCTATCTGTTTTATTTCGTAATTCATTTGGTTTTTAGGTGAACGTAAAATGGTGAAGCCATCGGCAAGTCAAGGGGCGATACTCGATCTTCATCAAAAGGGCGTTTCTTCACCCGACATCATTCGACGACTCAAACTCGACGACTCGGCGTACGGTTTATGATGCTATCGCACTTGGAACGCTTAAGGACCGTCCAAGAACAGAAAGAAAAGTTACCGTCACGACCAACAGGCTCAAGAAAATCGTCAAGAAACGAATCCAACGAAATCCAAGAAAGAGCATTCGAGGCTCAGCAAAAGGCCTAAAAATTCTCGAAACTTCGATCAGACGACTTGTTAGAGAGAAGTTGAAGTTAGTTTCGTACAAATTACAAAGGAAGCAGTCGATTTCCGACCCTCAGAAAAAGAAAAGGCTCGATCGGTACAAGACGCTTCTCGCAAGGGCCGTTCGTGTTCAACATCCCACAACTCTTTTACGGATGAAAAACTCTTCACGATCGAGCAATTTCACAACGCTCAAAATGATCGGATACTCGCCAATAGTTCTGCAGATGCTGATAAATTGGAAGAACCGTCGAGAAAACATCTCATCCACAATCTGTGATGGTTTTTGCCGGAGTCACTGTCGATTCGCGGACAGACCTGTTTTTCGTTGAAAATCGATGGCGATTATTATTTGAATGAAATTTTAAAGAAAAAGGTGGTGCATTGGGCAAACACAATCAACAATAATCAAAATTGGACCTTTATGCAAGACGGTGCCCCTGCGCACACAAAAAAGACGGTTCAGGCCTGGTGTTCAGCCAATTTCCCCAATGTGATCACCGCCAATGAGTGGCCCGCGAACTCACCTGAACTCAACGTAATGAATTTTTCCATTTTGAGTATCTTAGAGGCCAATGCTTGCTCTCAAAAACACACAAGTTTGGACGCTTTGAAGAAGTCTTTGACCAAAATATGGAAAGAAATTCCTCAAAGTCACATTCGGCCCGCCGTGGAGTCTTACCCGAATCGCTTGAAGGCTGTTATTAAAGCAAAAGGAGGACATATTGAATCGGCTCTCGTTTTCTTGTTTCTTCTTGTCCAATAAACTTCTTTTAGTTTAAAATTCTTTTTTTGGGTACAGAATTTTGGTATGAAATGCCTTGAATATCTTGTGCGGGTAATTATGGCGCACCCTGTATATGTTGTATCCGATTTGGATTGAACTTTGGATTGAAAGAGTGTATCGCTTCAGCAAGTTGGCGCTTCATGATAGTTCATTTTTGAAGTCGCCAGTGTTGAATCGTTAAAATTTATAATTTTATCAACCATCAGCTTGTAGAATGCGGCTTTCGGAATTTGGGTCGTCTTTTTTCGCTTCAAGCAGCTGTTGAATTTGTCGTAGAAGCGTGAATCCATTTGTAAAATCACAACGTAAAATAGGGTAAACATCATAAAAAAAACATAAACAAAATACAGAAGCATTTCAAAACGCGTAAATAAACTACGAAATAAGCAGATATCCGATTTGGATTTGAATCGGATATCTGCTTTGGATTGAAACATTATTTCACAGTAGGGTATCATGTTTTAAAAATTTTTTTAATCATTTTCTAGAAATTTTCTAGAGGTTTAACTCTGGCAACCTAGAACAGTCCGTTAGCACCACGTTTTCCCCGGAGAAAAGGCTTTCCTTTATTTTAATGTGAATTCAGATCAAAACCCTTTGTTTAGAAAATAATAAAACAATTTTTAAACCCTACTGTGAAATAATGTTTCAATCAAAAGCAGGTATCCGATTTGGATTCAAATCCAAATCGGATATCCGCGGTGAGTTCAATCCAAATCGAATACAACATATACAGTGGTCCACAAAAGTATTGTCCCATTGCCATCCAAAAGTTTCTTTCGTACGAAAATCTTTCAAAAAAACGATATTCCCAAAAAGTGTAGGGTATTTTGCTTACCCATAATACACTACTTTTCAAGATTATAAGATTTATCCGTATACATTGCATACAAATTAAAGTATAAAACAAAAACAAAAAAGTTACTTAACAAATAGCTCCAGAAAAGTAATGTCCCATTGATGTTTTCCTCGATTACTCTTTTTATTTTCGCGCTCCATGAACATTAAATATATTTTATTATTTAGATGGCTGGCAAGAAAAATCTTGACACTCCGAAGAACGCAAAATCCATGACCAGGCCTTCTTTTTGAGCCTTGGGATGGCTCAGACTCTTTTAACTGAATGAAAAAGTTCTTCGGAAGTTCTAGCGGACAATTTAAGAAACTATATGGATATCCGACCTTTCGATTTATAGCACGGATAAATCTTCTTTTCTTGACCATCCTCAGAACGTAAAAGAAATGGAGATGAGCAGAGCCGACCTTAGCCAACACTTTTGGAAAACAACTTTGACCCAACTTAAAATCTTTTTTTGAGAGAGAGAAATTTTTTAGGACTATTTCAAAAACTAGCTAATACTCAATAATTTTCAGATGGCCTGGGCACGGACCCAATCCGTCGGTTGTGCCTATTCGATGTGCATGAATGGAACACAAAGCGTGACCACGATGGTGTGTGCCTATTATCCAGTGTGAGTTCCCTAACAAATAATGCTTATTTTTTTTGAAAATTTTCTTTTTAGTGGCAATGCGGGTAAACAACTGATTTATTTCCAAGGCCCTACTTGCTCGAAATGCCCCAGTGGGAAGGCTTGTGTGGCTGCTAGTGGACTTTGTGTGTAAATGCTTTTGAAAAAAAGTAATAGTTTTTTCTTTCAAAATTTTAAACATTTAACAACATTTAAACATTTGTGTGATTTGTGTGGTCTTTGCGTGTTTCAAATGTGCATAAGAAAGTTTATTGTTATCGGTGACTCATGAGAGAAATTATCTATGTAACAATTGTAACAAAACAATACAACAAAACATAAACAAGTTGAAAGAGATGATCGAAGAAATTATCAAGAAAAAGAGTCTGTGAAAAAAGATCAGCACAAAGAAATTCATTCTCGAACTTCAAAAGCAACGAGTCGACATTTCAAAGCTTTTTTCTTCACGAAAAAGTAAGACAATGATTTTGTACTTCTCGTGTAATCGTGACCATATTTGCGATTTGCGAGGAATTTCTTAGGAAAACTTCTTCAAAAAAACGCTATAGAAAGCAGAATGGAAAGATTGAGAAAAGGGCCGAAATAGGATTGACGAAAAACAGGCACATTTGTTAACTAAAAAATATACCAAATGACTCTAGTTTTTCGCAAAAAATGATCAATTTTACGTAAACAACATGAATTTCACTCAAACAAAACAATCAAATCATTGTTCAAATCTTTCTATAAGTTCATAAAGGTTTTAATTTTTCCTCAATGTCGAAATTTTGTCATTCGCAATTCGCTGCGTTGATTTCGAGTCTTTCAAATTTGAATCACTGTTTGAGTGCTGAAAGAAATTGTTGGAAAATCGATAAAGATTGAGAAATTGTCTAAAAAAAATTTTATAAACTTACCTGAGTGACCATTTCACTCGTATGAGAGATAGCCGTTTTGCTCTTTTTCCCGAAAATCATTACCGAAAGACCGAGACGGTATTCCTGGAAATGGGAAGAATTGATTGCAGGGCTACTGTAACATTTACTAATTGGATTACGGTAGACTTACTCGCACGAAATAGATGACAACGATTGGCTCAAAAACGGGATAAAGAGAGATTCCCATTGTCGCCCATTCTAAATTCACTTCTTCGCCAAGCATTGGAACCAAGAAAATCGCCGTACAAGGGATGTACTCGAGAATGATTGGGACGATGAACTGAAATTGGAAACGGTAGAATTCTTGAAAAAATGGTGAGGATTTGGTTCTTTTTGCTGTAGTATTGCTCCTTTCACTTGTGTACTCGAGTAGCCGCTTTAAAACGCGCTTTGGCTACCGTAATCACAAATTGCAATATGTTTACGGCTCTTATTAACGTTAAAATGAACTTAACTTTAAGCTTAACTAAAAGTTTCTCTTGTCAAACCTGTATGAGGAGTGCTTGGAATAGTTGTTTCTGTAGCCGATATCCCCTTTCACTCGCCATCTCTGATGAACTCAATTTACGATGCATCGACCAGCCACAATACAAAATCACTGGAAATGTTTTGTGAGATAAAATGGGTTTTTGTGACTGTGAACTTTGCATTAATTGACATTAATTAACTTCAACTTTATCACCAATCACTCACCACAAAACATTCCCGACATTTGCGTCATGCAAACTGTCAAACAAATCCATGGACGCAAATTGAAACGAAGATTTCCGTTCTCGTTAATCTAAAAGATTTTTTGGTTTAAATGTGAATCTAAAAGACTAAAAATTTTTCGAAAAACAATGATAAAAAGATAAAATTATCAGAAATTTGATGTCATTTGAGTTGCTAATTTCAACTTCAACTTCAAAAGTGAGCGACAACTTTAAATCATTGTTTGAGTTGCTAACTTTGAAACTTAATGACTCTAACGGTAAAGGTTGGCTAAATTTCCGTTTAACCAACTTTGGAAGAGAAATATCTTTATGATCTTTAAAATGATTGGATCTTTCAAAAATAAAATAAAATAACAAAATTTCCCTTACAAAATAGTTATCGCCAATGATTGCCGTCTCATTTGGCCACAAGCCGGCAAAACGATAGAAACCGACGTCGATTCGATGGAAAAATTCCTCGGTCGGGCCTAGAAAGCGTCATTTTAATTGATAATCAGTCAACATACCGTAAATACTGTAATAGTACCCCACCCCCATAATGACGGTGCGGAGCGTTGCCTAGTCTAGCATTGGACGCGTTTTTCTCGACACTGGCTTATGCTACAATGCGCGCTTAGATATCAAAAAAATAGCTGAAATTCAGGGCTATTTTTTGATACCAAAGACGCATTTTTTGAAAGTACGGGTGCTTTGAAAAAAATGAAATACTAAAAACTTTTGCGACTACGCGACTGTACGAGGGGGGTGGGGTACTATTACAGTATTTACGGTAACTATTTTTAGATAGATTTTAAGAACTATAAAATATACTACTTGTAAAAAGGTTAACTTTATCAATGTCTGTTTTAAAACGACAGATTATGGACGGGACTTAGCCTTTTGTCTGATAACTTTGCATGAATATTACATTTTGAGTTAATTTTGGTATCATTCGACACGCAATTTTATTCTGTATCGAATGATAGTCAAAATAGTTAAAATCAAAGGGTTGGTGCTGATAAAAACACCAAAAAGGTTAACTTTATCAATGTCTGTTGGAAAACGACAGATAAACAGGGTAAGTTTCAAAGTTCTCAACGCCAAATCGTTTGCCATTTTCTTTATCAGACTTATTTCGGTATTATCATTAAAAATTTAATGTTTATATTTTAAATAAGATAAAAAATTGAAAACAAACCAATATACAAATGAACCATCGTAATCCACAAAGCAAAATAAGCAAAATAGTAGAAACTCAAAGCGAAAATCGCCTTTTTTGTGTTGATCAAATCGAGCCATTCTGTTCTGAAAAGTTCGTTTAAAATTTAGATACATTTTTTAGAATTACTTGCAAATACACGCATATCGATAAATGAAATGATAACCGAGAAGAATGGTTGATTGAGCGAAAAGCGAACAATAACCGATCAATGCTATGTAGCCAACTAAATTTACCTGTTCAATAACCCGACTCAATTTACCCGAACTCCGTATTTTACGTGTAACTCAGCACTCAGAGATGCAATCATCTCACGCTTTGTTTTAATAAAAAATTTCAATATTTTTCTATGATGGTTTGACTTAGGTTTGACGAAAAAACATTTTTCTGTCTTATTTTATGGAACCTCAAAGTTGGCAGTGAGGAGTTGCTTGGCATAGCACTTGTTTTTAACAGTTTTTCAGAAAATGCTAAAGATTGAGCATGTCTTCGAACGCTTTCGGCTTTTGCAATATCTTTTGTACTTTATCAAGCGAATCGGAAAGTAATGTGACACTTAATTAGGCAAAATTTTGCTATTTTTGGAATCTTGGTTTGGGCCTAAGCGTTGGCTTGTCAAAAGAGAACCCTGCAAACCGAAATTTTTCATTTTTCAGTTTCTGTTAAATGTGAATATTTAATCTTTAGGTAAATGTAACATAATAAAACTAAATTTAGTGTTGAAACATTCATTACCATTAAAATTCTTGTTAAATCCTCGAAAAACAAGTGCCACGCTAAGCAATTCCTCACTGCCAACTTTGAAGTTCCATAAAACAAGACAGAAAAAGGCCCAAACCAAAATTCCAAAAATAGCATGTTGTGTTGCAGCAATGTTGCCTAATTAAGTGCCACATTACTTTCCGATTCGTTTGATAAAGTTTAAAAGATATTGCAAAAACGAAAGCGTTCAAAGACATGCTCAATCTTTAGCGTTTTCTGAAAATGAAAAGCTGTTAAAAACGAGTGCCACGCTAAGCAACTTCTCACTGCCAACTTTGAAGTTCCATAAAACAAGATAGAAAAACGTTTTTTTGTCAAACCTAAGAATCCATCATAGATAAATATTGAAAATTTTCTATTAAAACAGAGCGTGAAATGATTGCACATCCGAGTGCTGAGCTACATTCAAAATACCGAGTTCGGGTAATTATTGAACACCCTGTAGTTTATGAAAATAGTGGAAATGAAAGTTGAACCATTGAAAATAAAAGAAACCATAAAGACCGCGCCGCTGTGTAAAAACGAAAATTGCGTCGAATGGAATTGCGCCATTTGACCGCCGAATGGAATTGCGCCATTTGACCGCCGAATGGAATTGCGCCATTTGACCGCCGAATGGAATTGCCATTTGACTAGCGCCTTCACTTTGCGCGAATCTGGTAGCAAAATGTAGCCCTTCATTTGGGCTACACGATGGTATAAAAAAAACTTTTTAGAAAAACTGTTGTTTAGTACAAGAAAAATAGCCGCAAAGTGAGAGTGTCGACTGTACATCGCAATACTAAAAACGATGTATATCGCAATACTAACAACTGTCTTTTGTATGGATGTGTAGTATTGGTGCTCTCAATTTTGCGACCATTCGGGTTCGGGTTCGGGTAGTTATTGAACTCCCTGTAGATGGATGGATGCGCAAATTTTTGCATGAGATCCCTATTTTAGTCACATTCATTTCATTTGGCAAAACTTTAACTATTGGGTTGGTGGAAAGCAGCCATTTTTTGGCTCTGCCGCCCTTTACTAAAATAGCTGTAAAAACTTTTAGAAAAGAGATATCTCAAAACCGGTTTTTACCAATCGATCCGTCTTGAATTCAGCTTTAGGATGAGCTATAAAACGTCAAAATTCGACAAATTTAAGGTACTCTCCCAAAAAATCCGAAAGGACTTTTTCATCAACCCAATACTTGGATGATAACAACTAAACACTCACTTATCTTGTAACCACCAAGAAACGAGGACGAGTAGAAACAGAAGCCGTAATCGTGAACATAGGTCACCTGTATCGCCAGTAGGTAAGCTTTTTCTGATTTTTTTAATGGTACTTTTGACTACTTTTTTTTTGCCAAATTTGCATTTAAAAAGCCTCTCATCAAATGCCCAACTTCGTTGGTACCAATTTCGTTGGTACCGATTGCTAAATCAGCAAATTACAGGTTTGGTATAACTTGCGTGTCAAATCCACGGGTCCTCTTCTTCCAATATGCAAAATGGCGTACAAAATAGTCAAAAGTAGCCCAGGCCTAGTTTTGATTATTTCGTACGCCATTTAAAATGCAAATGTTCTTGGTTTAATTGCAAAGTGGCGTGCAAAATAGTTAAAAGTACCATTTTAAGTTGGTGTACAAACTTTTAACGAAAACATTTGTCTTTTCTTTTTTTGCCGTTGGCAATTTAAGGTTTTTCGTCTTTTTCTCAGCACCAACCCTGTCGTATTGAAACAGACATTGATAAAGTTAACCTTTTTACAAGTAATGTTTTTATCACCAACCCTTTGATTTTAACTATTTTGACTAGCAATCGATGCAGAATAAAATTGCGCGTCGATTTGATACCAAAATTAACTCAAAATGTGATATCCACGCAAAGTTGTTAGCTAAAAACCTAAACCCCGCTTATACTGGGCGGCACTTAGCCTTTTCTCTGATAACTTTGCATAAATATTATCTTTTGTGTTAATTTTGGAACCGTATTGGAACCGTATTGGAACCGCATTAGATCAAAAAAAGAACCGTATTGGAACCGTATTGTTGTTGGCCAAAAAACCTAAACCCCGCTCATACTGGGCGGCACTTAACATTTTGCCTCATAACTTTGCGTGGATATCACATTTTGAGTCAATTTTGGTATCAAATCGACGCGCAATTTTATTCTGCATCGATTCCTAGTCAAAATAGTTAAAATCAAAGGGTTGGTGCTGAGAAAAAGACGAAAAACCTTAAATTGCCAACGGCAAAAAAAGAAAAGATCAATGTTTTCGTTAAAAGTCTATCATTTCGCATTTTGTGTTTGCTTTTGAAAGCTGATCACTTACCGGGATCACCAATAAATGTGCTGTCGCATAAACGATGTTAAAGACGGCCAAAACGAGGATTAAATACCTAGAGAAAGATTTTGTTTTCAAAATTTTCAGCTCTTAATTTAAGATTGACCAAATTTTTTTAATAAAAAAAATTTTATTAAAAAATAAAAATAAAAAAAAAAAAAAAGAAAAATAAAGGTATATAAAAAAAAAAAAAAAAAAAAAAAAAAAAAAAAAAATTAATTTAAAAAGAAAAGGAACTAAAATTAAAATAATGATTATTTATTTTTTTTCACTCACCGATATGTTCCCATTCTCGAGTTTGGATTCCTTTGTACTAAATATATCAAAATCCCGTTGCAAAGGTATCCGATTAACGAATTAATGCATAAAACAATATTGGCGATAACCATTTTTCAGCTCTGAACATTTGAATGAATTTGTTTCTCATAAGGTTTTTGATTAAATTGTTTTTTGAGAAGGTTTAAAGCTAAATTTTTGAAAACAAAAACAAAAACAAAAAAGTAAACAAAATAAAGTAATGATTCAAGTTTTTTTGCAGATTTGCAGCACAAATTTCTCCAAAAAAAAAGCATTTTGTTTGTGCAAAAAAAATCTCTCCCGACTGTAACCCGATTGAGCATTTATGGGCAAGTGTAAAACGAGAATTACGTGGCTACCCGTTTTCTTCAAAAGGATGAGCTTTGGGACAAGGTGCAAGAGATTTGGAAGTCGATTTCACCACGGACACTCGAGGAATTGGTTTCCAAGTCGAATGAAAGAGATCATTAAAGCTCAAGGAGGACCGACTAGAAGACTGAAGTTTAAAACAGAAAATTATTAAATTCTTAACAAAAATTAAATCGTTTTTTTTTTGGAAATTTGACGAGTTCTTTTGTTTTAAAACCCCGATCCTCTTTTTTTCTTGTCTTGTCTAAACAATGGTTGATTGGTTGATTTGAATCATGGTTGATTGGTTGATTTGAATTCGATATAGAGTATTCAGTCTAGACTGTCTGGATTACGGTATTCAATCTAGAATAGGATATTCAGTCTAGAATAGCTAGATTAGGCATTTAATCTATTAGGTTGATGCATAAGTGTTTTTGTTCCTTTTCGTCTGCCGTTTCAAGCCAACAAATGCACGAATTAAACTACGATTGATTTCATTAGAAAAAGCAATTATTTTTCTGCAAAATAACATTAAAACGGGTTTAAAAATATTGAATGCCTGGATTTTCTTGAGAGTATGAAGTCGGGTAGTCAAAAAGGGCTAACTCGATGATGCGGTTTAGACACCTTAGCTAAAGAAAACCTATCTTCGTGTCAATAGATAAAAGATAGAGAAAAAAAACGTTTGATATTTCGCCAAAATTTCAGAGAAATTCATTCAGCCAATTTTTCCGTAGAGTTTTTTATAGATTTTTACGAAAAAGGCGTTTTCACTCTCGAATTTGCTTGAAAGTGAACCGAAATTCATTTAAAAGATGCAAATTGAACAAAAAAACACTTTTTTTATAGAGCAAACTATAGATTAATTCGTGAATTTGTTACTTTTTAACAGAAGTACGAAAAAAACGAAAAGACTTATGCAACAACCTAATAGATTAGGGTATTCAGTCTAGATAGAGTATTCAGTCTAGACTGTCTGCACTTTTTTTTCCATATAAGTACTTAAATTTATCTTTTTATTTAGGAAATTTTCATTTCTAAAAGATTCTCGAAACAAAATGAAAGCAAAAATTGAGAAAAATGAGATTTTTGAAAGCAAAAAGTTTCTAAAACTATGAAAATCGAGTTTATCCAGTTTCCAAAGAGATTCTACAAGAGTTTCAACAGAATTTAAACACTCAAAATTGCTGTTGATGTAGCATAATGCTTTGAAAAGATGTGAAACTCCTTACAAAAATAGAGCCAACATCGAGCCAAAGATTGATCACAAGAATTTGAACGACGTCATTGCGCCTAAAACCCCAAAACCAGCTCAGTCGCTCACCGATCTTTCCCCTTTACGGATTCCGAATCCTTATATACCCGAGAGGTTTGCCAGGTGGCGAGCGATTACGCAGCTGCACAAAGAACACCCCGCAAGTAATTTACACAGGGGATTTGCTTTGTCGATGGTACAAAAAAAAGAAATTTAGCTGTAAATTTGTCCCCTTGCGTTTTCGGGGTCGACGAATCCGTTCATTTTATTGGTGCCTTTCATTTTATTTAGTCTACAAATCTTTTCTTGAGTTTTATTTATGTTTTCGAGCGTCGTAAAGCTTTCCTAAAATGGTACTTTGTTGAAAGTTTCTCTGCGAGTCTTCTAGATGCTAAATCACTTCATGAGTTGTTTTTGCCCAAAAACAACTCATGTTGCCTTGATCTATTGAAATGTTTAAGCAAAAGAAAATGAAATATTATAGTTTATTTTATTAAACTATTTCACTAAGCTGTAAGCTCTGGAAACTCTTGCCTCGCATTTTTTACCCGGAATTTCCGCTTCGATTTAAAATACAAAGCATTGAATGCTAAAACACTTTTTAAAGAATGACTACCGGATTTTCTCTAATAGTAGTGCACCCAGAGTATCGCCTAAATTGCTCGAAGCTCGAAAGCCACTTATCAGCCACCTATCGATGTGGGGAAACAACGACACCAAAAAGATAGCTTAATCCGAAACAAACAATCAATCTAAAAGCTTAAATGAAATAAAGATATAGAAAAGATCTCGAAATAAGCCTAAGCAACGATTAGTGCATCCTAAGCTTCGTCTAAATTCCTCGAAATCTCGAAAAGCGCTTATCAGAACCTATCGATGTGGGGCCGGAAAATGTAGCTGACGATGAGATCTTGTGGGGGATTTGAGTGTTGAGCTTCTGTGAAAACTTTGAAAGCCGTAAAATAGTCATTAACTCCATCAACTCGACTCGGGCGGGGTGCACTACTATTTGGGAAAATACGCTATCTTAAAAATCTATAGCTAAAATTCAGCGGTGCTCATGAGCAAGAGGCGACATGTCCAAAGAGGCAATGTCTTCATCCAAGTCCCCAAGTCCCAGTTATACCGGATACCGTCCAACGCTCAATTGGGATCGAAAGAGGTTTGTTCAAAATATCTACTACAAAATTTCAGATCTAAAATAGTCAAAACATCAATTTCATCGAAAACATCGACTTCCCATAGTATCCTTGCAAAGAAAAGCCCTTGCTGTATCTACCGTATTTTCTCCAATAGTAATGCACTCTAAGCTTCGCCTAAATTCCTCGAAATCTCGAAAACCACTTATCAGAACCTATCGATGTGGGGTCGGAAAATGTAGCTGACGTTGAGATCTTGTGGGGGATTTGAGTGTTGAGCTTCTGTGAAAACTTTGAAAGCCGGAAAATAGTCACCAACTCGACTTGCTGGGGTGCACTACTATCAAAGAAAATACGGTAGTCAGGTATTTCAGAAAGTTAAGATATGAAAATTTTAAAAAATCAATCCAATATTTGTGTCCCATTCAGACAAGATAAATGAGTAATCTCTCCTTCCAACGATTCCCTCATTTAAATACAAATTCCCCCTCAAATAACCACGGTACTTTGTACTCAATTGTTAAGGTTTTCAGGCGCTTTTTTCGACGATCAGACTTCGTTTTGAAGAAAACAAATGATGAGTAAATCTATTTTTTCTCATCGAACAATAGAGATTAAACAATGAAAATCCTCCAATTTTCTTTCCAAACAATGAAATCTATTTTATTTCTATGAACACAAATGAATTATTCATTTTTCTATCATTTTTGGTGATTCTTGAGGCCAAAACTTTTGATTTTGATGAGAAGAAGCAAAAGGAAAGTAAAACAATTTCGAAGATTTCGCGTACAACATTGTGCTTCGAGAAGAGTAAACATGTGAATAGCCATCATACTTGCGCTCAAAAATGTAAACATTCTCTCTTTGGTGCACGCAAAATCTTTCCTTTTTCTTGTGAAAAAAGCGTTGTTGAAATGCAAATGAAGAATCGTTATCGTTATCGTTACCGGACTTGAAACGATCGAACCATTCATAAACTGTTGCACGTCCAATTGTTCCTTGACCAAAAAGTTCTTTGAGATCGCGAAACGACTCTGCGGCAGACCATCCCTTTTCGAAGTGGTAGAGCATGATATGGCGAAGATGGATATGATTGTCGACACGCATTTTGTTCACTAAAGAATAACGAATATTTTAAAAAAAAGAAATAGACAAAAAGCTTTCAAAACAAAAAAGATACAAGCACGCAAAAAGAAGTCCGGATAATTATGCATCAACCCAATATAATAAAAAATTTAAAAAGTAAAAATTGAGCGGCATCACGGCGGGTCGAACCCGGCTCGTGTATGGGCCAAACTCAGGCCGCAGACAAGCGCGTTCCCGACTGCCCCACGGTGACAAGTAGAGTGTGTTCCTCGCGAGTAATGCGTTTTTTAAAACGCACACTTCGGACAAAATTACCGTACTTTTAGCAAAAATTATTGCAAAAAAATGACCCCAAAAATGACGAGCCCACATTATATACGACATTTTTTAAAGATACTCAGCCGTTTAACTGATTTGGTAGGAAATTCCCATCCAATGTGAAAAATGTTTTTTTTTAGAAAAACCTGCGCAAAAAATGGCTTTTATATTTTTTTATCGCGCAGGCGCACTTTTTAGAAAACGCATTACTCGACAATTACTCGAGCTATTACTCGAGTAAAAAATTACTCATGCAAATTTACTCGAGTAATTACCTACTCGCGAGGAACACACTCTAGTGACAAGAGACCATGCAAGAAGAGCCCGCTTTTAGCTGGTTTTTTTTTGACTGGTATTATTATAAAGATTTATTATAAAAAGCAAGACTTTAAAAATAATAGAGCTATAGAAAAAAAATGCAAAATTCATGATTAATTAAGCGTCTTTGAAACACTTTTTGTCGCATTTGACGGCATTTTCGAGTCTTTCACATGGGAATCACTTTGAGAATGCTGAAAAATGAAAGGATAAATGCTTGGAGTGTGCAAAGTAGTTTGCATTTTGCACTAAAAATTTCGGTTCTTCTCGAAAAACTTGGTCTTTTCATTGTAAAAATCTATCAAGTCCAATTCGATTCTCTTGGGACTTTTCTTGAGACAAAGGGTTAAAATAAACTCCGCCGATAGATTCGACGGCCTTGGAAACTCCGGCGAACAAATTTTTAGCAATAAATCTCATTTGGGAATCATTTACAGAAAAAATCACTGTGTAAAGTGATTTTTTTTTGCTGTAAATGATTCCCAAATCGTTCTCTGTTCTTTGAGTTCTCGTGCGGTGTTCCGAGTTCTCGTGCGGTGTTCTCTGTGCGGCGCGTAATAGCTCTCGATCTAGCATTCCTCTCGGGTCTATGAGGCTTCTTTTTTGGAATTGGGGCAGGAGCTGGATTGAACCCTTGACCTCCTGACTAAGATACAGGGTTCCCAGCCAGTCGGCCATGGAGGCAATCATTGGCGGAGCCTATTTCAATCGTTTTTCCCAAGAGAATCGAATTGGCTTTGGGTCCTCCATCCAATAGGGTTCACAACGAAAAGACAAGCTTTTTTCAAAAAACCCGGATTCCCTGGAGAACCGAAATTTCAATGCATTTAGTTTTACCTGTGTTGTCATTTCCGATGTATAAGAAACAGCGCCGCCGCGTTTTTTACCGAAAATTAAACGCCGAAGAGTCACTCGGTATTCCTAAACAATTTTTGTTTCATATTACCAAAGTTAATTCAAAAGTTTATTGTATTTTTGGTTTTCTCAACTTACTCTCACGAAATAAATGACAACGATTGGCTCAAAAACGGGATACAGAGAGATTCCCATTGTTGCCCATTCCAAATTCACTTTTTGTCCAAACATCGGTACAAGGAAAACAGATGTACAAGGGATGTATTCGAGGATGATTGGGACGAGGAACTGAAATTGGAAACAATAGAATTGTTGGAAAAATGGTGAGGATTTGGTTCTTTTTGCTGTAGTATTGCTCCTTTCACTTGTGTACTCGAGTAGCCGATTTAAAGCGTGCTTTGGCTACCGTAACCACAACTTGCAATATCTTTACGGCTCTTATTAACGTTAAAATGAACTTAACTTTAAGCTTAACTAAAAGTTTCTCTTGTCAAACCTGTATGAGGAGTGCTTGGAATAGTTGTTTCTGTAGCCGATATCCCCTTTCACTCGCCATCTCTGATGAACTCAATTTACGATGCATCGACCAGCCACAATACAAAATCACTGGAAATGTTTTGTGAGATAAAATGGGTTTTATGACTGTGAACTTTGCATTAATTGACATTAATTGACAGTAATTAAATTTAACTTTGTCACAAAGTACTGACCACAAAACATTCCAGACATTTGCGTCATGCAAACGACCAAACATGTCCATGGACGCCAATTGAAATGAAGAGTGCCGTTGATTTGAAGCTAGAATGAAGATCATTGTTTTAGCTTTTATGTAGGGTTAAAATCACTCAAGGAAATGTGATAATTATTGTATTATTATTGTTGTTATATTATTATTGTTATATTATTATTGTTATATTATTATTATTATATTATTATTATTATATTATTATTACTAACGAGATAATTATCCCCAATGATTGCCGTTTCGTTCGGCCACTGGCCCGAGAATTCGTGGAAACCGGGCGCGATTCGCTCAAAGAATTCATCGGTTGGACCTGTATTTGATTATTGATTGAATATTTTAACCTTGACATATTGATTTTTTGACATACCAATATACAAATGAACCATTGTGATCCAAACGACAAAATAGGCAAAATAGTAGAAACTCAAAGCGAAAATCGCCTTTTTTGTGTTGATCAATTCAAGCCATTCCGTTCTGAAAAGTTCGTTCAAAATTTAGAAATATTTCCCAAAATTACTTGCAAATACACGCATATCGATAAATAAAATGATAAGCAAGAAGAATGGTTGATTGAGCGAAACGAAAAAAAACGAAAAGAGGGGGGGAAAAAAAAAAAAAAGTGGGGGGTTTTTTGAAATGGGGTTTGGAGGGGAAAGAAGAAAGAAAAATGTGGGGTGGGGGGGGGTTTTTTTTTTTTTTTTTTTTTGTGGTTTTTTTTTTTTTTTTTTTTTTTTTTTTTTTTTTTTTTTTTTTTTTTTTTTGTGGGGGGGGGGGGGGAAATTTTGTTTTTTATTGTAAAGATAGGAAAAAGAATTGTAAGAATTAAAAAAAAAAAGGTGGTGGGGTGTTGGTGTTTTTTTTTTTTTTTAATTGTGGAAAAGGGGAAAAAAAAAAAAATTTTTTTTTTTTTTTTTTTTTTTTGGTGGGTGTGTGGAGGAGGATGGGAGAAAAAGGGAAGAGGAAGGGAAAGGGGGGGGAAAGGGGGGGGGGAGGGGGGGGGGGGGGGAAAAGGGGGGGGGGGGGGGGGGGGGGGGAGGGGGGGGGAAGGGAAAGGGGGGGGGGGGGGGGGGGGAAGGGAAGGAAAGGAATAAAAAAGCGAACAATAACCGAGAAGAGCTGGGTAACCAACTAAAAAGATTTGGAGTTTTTTAGAAGTCGGATTTGAAGTGTAACTATTAGTGAAACTTCGCAATGTTAGTGAGACTTCCATATAGATTTTTACAAGTAGTCTTTGTATGATTTTTCTTAATAATATGGTTTACTTGCTCTCATGCTTTGTCGAGTCAGAAAATGGATCTGAAATTTTCTCGGTAAACCCCAAATGTAGTCTTAAAAATTGCCTCTATGAATTCAAAGCCTCAGCTCTGAGTCTTCGAGTGAATCCAACTTTTAAAATACTCGAAAAGAATGCAAAATTTAGATTTCTTTTTGGTATCGAACTAGTTTATGACACGATTTCATTACCGTAAGCGTATCCACTCAAAAACGAGGACGAGTAGAAACAAAAAGCGAAATCGGCCACATAGGTTACCTTGAAAATGAGAATTTAAAAATTTAGTGAAAATGAAATAAAATTCCTAAACTTTTCAAACGGTTATCTTACCGGGATCACCAATAAATGTGCGGTTGCATAGATGATGTTAAAGATGGCCAAAACGAGGATTAGATAGCTAAATAATAACGTTTTTTTTGATAGATAATTTTATCCTTTATTTACCGATAAGTCCCCATTCGAGTGTTCGGGTTTTTCAGAATCAAATATATCAGCATTCCATTGCAGAGGTAGCCCACTAGAGAATTGATGCAAACCACTATGTTAGCCACAACCATTTCTGAAAATTGGATAAGTCAGCTGAGTTTGGAAATAAAATAAAATAAAACATTAAGCAAACGAAATTAGAAAGCGGAAAAAAAATGTTAAAACTAGACTTCGGAAAACAAAACTTAACTAAAACCAAAACCACCAAAACCAAAACAGACCAAAAACAAAGCCAAAACTAACCAAAACTCGCCAATATCTCGCGACTGGGAGGAGCTAGCGAAAATCTGCTTGCAGATTTGAAATCAGCGTCCAAAAATCTATCCCATAGGCTATTTTTTGTTTCGAAATTTTGAGGTCGTGTTTTGGTCCTTTTTTCGGCCGCGAGATTTTGGGGAGTGAGAAGAAGTGAAAGGCAAATTTGCATTTTACAATTTTAAATTTACATGTTAATTTATATGCAAATTGAGTTTTGGTTTGTTTTGGTGTTTTGGTGTTTTGGTTTTGGTTTTGGTTTTAGTTTTGGTCTGTTTTGGTTTTGGTTTTGTTTGCCGAACTCTAGTTAAAATTAATACAAGTGTAAATACCTATTGGTATTTGAAATGTAGATATAATGTAATGAAACCGAAACGAAACCGACTGAAAAGTAAATGAATTCAGAACTTGTAAGACCAAGAACTAAACTTACACTCGAAGATATCGCCTTAAAAATGATCGCAAATGATGCAAAAAATTCAAAAAACCCTCAATCTTTTACATATTTATTACATCAAAAGTGATTTCTTCTTTATCCAATAAAAGAACAAATGCGTAATCTTTTTTGTTTCACAATGATTTGATTGGTAAAATTGGTTTGGTAAAATTTAGAACAAAAGGACAACAAAGGGAATGACTTCATCCACAAATATCTCTTTTGTGAGACGATTTACGGAGTGATTCAAAAGAACAATACCAATTTTAACAATACCAAAATATTTTGGTCTCTTTTGGAAGACACGTACAAATTGGAAATGTGTTTTCAGCAAGATTTCTACACTACGAGATCATTGAAATGAAGGCTTTGCGAATAGAAAATGAGATTAGATGAGTCAGCTGAATGGAAAAACAAATCAGCTAACAATAGCTAGTGGTAAGTTGGTTGATTGTGAGTAACAACAACTTGCGACCGTCTTAAAACTTCCTTTCCCAGTTTGCCAACGGCAGAGTGGCTTCATTTGAAATGGCTTTGGGTACTTCCACATCTTTGCCCCTTCAACTAAAACAGGATAAATGCAAATTTCTCCAGCATCTCTCTAGTTTAAGGGAAAAATAGTGAATTTATGAGGTTTATATGCATTTATTCTAACCGAAATCAATCCAAAACCATATTAAAACTAGGAAGAAACATGCTAAAACACGAAATATGTTAATCCAATGATGAAGTAAGATGTCAAAGATCAATTTGCAGATAAACTTGTTGACGGGGCAAAGATACGGAAGTACAGTCAAACCTCGACTTAACGATGTCAATTTTTAGTCCCTTGAAAGCTATCTACTATATATAAAGGGACTAAGACGACTATCTGTCTGTCTGTGTCTGGCTGTCTGTCTGGCTGTCTGCCTAGTTGTCTGTCTGGTTGTCTGTCTGTCTGTCTGTCTGTCTGTATGTATGTATGTATGTCTGTCTGTGCGCGCTACTCCTCTGCCCCCAGAGGACCGTTTGCAATGGTTTTTGCGCCGTTGAATAGGGAATTACATATAGTTGTGCAACGTGGTTTTGGATTTTTTAAAAAGCACAATTCAAGTTGCACGAGGAGGTCGAACCTGGATCGTATGGGCGATAGACCGGTGCGCTATCCACTGCTCCACGGCGACAAAAGCCGTCTGACCCAAAAAAAATCCAGAATCCCATTCTGGATTTTTTGGGGACGGCTGGCTTACCCTATAAAGACCTTCGATGTAACGATGGAGAATCCCGGTCTCTTGAGAATCATTAAATCGAGTTTTGACTGTATCTGGCTTTGATTGAAGTAAGTCGAGGAAAATAAAGTGAACAATTTAGATTATTTTGTGTGGAATTTAGCTACTAAACTGTATCTGGCTTTGATTGAAGTAAGTCTTATCTCACTTATCTCACTTATGCAACTTCTGTCACGTTTTTTTTTCAAAGTTCACTGAAATCAACTAGTAAACCCAACACATTTTTGCCAAATCTTAGATTAGATATTTTTCTAGTGAGTCTAAAAGTTTTCGTTTCGATTTCTTATCTTCAACAAATCCCAGAGTTTCTCGGGAACTTGTCCCACTTTCACTGAAAAAAAATTGGCTTATCCGCAAATCGTTGTTTTCTTGTATTGAGTGAGTGAAGGGAAAAAAAACGATTTCTCTCAGCTGATTTCCAATCACTTTTGCCTTTTTCCTCGATTCTCTTTAAGTGAGTCGAGGGAGTGACTTTTGAGGAAAAGTGTCGACCTTGTAAAAATGAGGAAAGAGAACCTTTTTGGAATGGAAATATATTTGAGAAAAGCTTTTAGTCTGTGATTTTACTGATTTTATCTATTTTGAGATAGATATTTCTATATTTTGGGAACACTAGCATTGCTATTTTTTGGGATCAATTTTGGATCAATCAAAAATTTCTCTACCGATTGCTGTTAACATTTAAGAGTTAGAAAAAGGAAAAAAATTCAATGTTTTGGAGCTACCGTATTTACTCTATTAGTGGGGTCGTCTGGAGGGGGGTTGAAAAAATAGTGGGGTCCTCTCTAATATTGGTAACGAAAGTGATACATCAATTGTTGATCTCTTGGATTAGTTCTTTTACTGTTTGTTAATGTTTTGTTACGGTTAAAGCTAAATAAAATATGAAGCCAAACTTGTTTTTTCAAGAATTTCGGAGAAAAATTGATATCTTTTCAACTTAAAACTTTGGTTTTATGTTCTTTTAAATTTCTCTAATAGTGGGGTCGTCTGGAAGGGGATTGAAAAAATAGTGGGGGACCCCACTAATAGAGTAAATACGGTATACGGGTTGGGGTGAGCGGGGCTTCCAAAATGCCTTTGGCAAGTTGCTAAAAGGTTTCTAGGCAGCGTTCCTAGGGTTTTCGGGTACACTGATTCGATTGGTGATATTTTCAGAATCTGTTTGCGACTTATTTCTTCTTGTTTTCCTAGGTTTCCTTGCTTGCCTACATTTCTTTTTTTAGATGACGGGAATAGCTGCAGCTAATTGGATAAGAAACGGTATCAAGGAGAGCTCTGGGACGACGATTACTTTGAAGCTCTTTGAAAATGGGAGCATAACTCCGAGAAATTGTTGTATTTTTTTTGGGAATAGGCCGCTAGGAAATATTATTTGTTTTAATTGCATATTGTTTGTTGTTGCTTTACTTTTCAATTTATTGTTGGTTTATTTATTCTCTACCGAAATTTCTCTACTTTGTCCCTCAAAAAAGGCATCGTTTTTCTGATAAAAGTACATCAAATTTCGCACAGAAATTTGACTTTACCTTTGTTGTAAAATAAGAGATTAGGTGCGCCGGAAAATGTGCGTTTGTGAGTGCACAAAGTATATGAAATTAGCATTTAGTGGCTCCAACTCTAGAAAAGATAACTTAGATTAGAAAATTGATGATTTTGAAGATTTTGGAACACTTGGAAACTTGCCTGAGCAGCTGCAAAATACGATTATATCTTTTCATCTTTCGACAACTATACAAAGTACATAGTACAGTACTAAAAAAAGAAAAGAAACCTTTAAAAAGCTAAACTTTCACTTATCATTTGACCCTCTAAGCTTCTTCTATGCCAACATTTCTTTCGTTTTCTCTTTTCTGAAACAATATTTTCTCAACTTTCAGATCACATCGATTTCTTTATCATTTCCCTCTTTTCCCCTCAAAATCTTGTCTCATTTCTGTCACGATTTTGATGTTTCTTCTCTTGATTGAATATCATGAAAGGCGAAAATTGATCAAATTATCGAAAACGATCGTTATTCGATTTTTTCTATTCTTCGCTTTACTGGGAAAAGGTTTGTTTACGGGAGTGGGACAAATGCGACCTTTTTTTTGCGCACCCGGACATTTGCGCACCTTTTTTTGTGTACCTTGCCCATTAGCGCACCTTTTTTCGCGTTTTAAAAAAGCTCTAAAAAGCTAATATTAACCAATTTCTGTTAATATTAGCTTTTTAGAGCTTTTTTAAAACGCAAAAGGTGCGCTAAGGGCAGGTGGGGGGAAAAAGGGGGAAAAAAGGTGCGCAAATGTCCGGGTGCGCAAAAAAAAGGTCGCATTTGTCCCACTCCCTTGTTTACAGAAAAATTAGTCGTCTTTGATTTAAAAAAAACAAATCTAAATCTAAATCTCGTCAGTTACATCTAAACTTTCCAATTCACTACATACAATAAAAAAATTTTCGAAAAGGACTTTAGAATTCAAGAATAATGTGTTGATAATTTTGAAATCTTTATCTTTCCAGTCTCATCAATCGGTCTGAATCGGGTGCAAAACGCTGAGCTGAAACATGTTGTGCCGAGGCAGTTATCGAGGTTTTGAGCAAAAACAAATAATACTAACAAAAAGCTAATACTAGAACCTTTTCAAGAAGCCCCTTTTCAAAAGTTTCAAAATATCCAACTTTCGGGGAAATTTTCGCCTATTAGTTCAATCCTAAAAAGACATTCACGATGATACGGCCCACCGGTGGGCCGTACTAGTAACTTGTAACGAAAACATTTGTCTTTTTTTTTGCCGTTGACAATTTAAGGTTGTTCGTCTTTTTCTCAGCATCAACCCTTTGATTTTAACTATTTTGACTATCATTCGATGCAGGATAAAATTGCGCGTCGAGTGATACCAAAATTAACACAGAATATAATATTCATGCAAAGTTATGAGGCAAAAGGTTAAGTCCCGCCCATAATGGGCGGGGGTTTAGGTTTTATGGCCAACAACTTTGTGTGGATATTACATTTTGAGTTAATTTTGATATGATTCGACGCGCAATTTTATGCTGCATCGAATGATAGTCAAAATGGTTAGAATCAAAGGGTTGGTGCTGAGAAAAGACGAAAAACCTTAAATTGTCAACGGCAAAAACCGTTTTCGTCAAAAAGGACAAAAAGGACGTTACAAGTCTAGACCGTACTAATGACGATTATTTTTGGTATCAATTTTTTAAGGACTTTTGTTATTTCTTTTGCACAAAGTTCTCGGTAACTTTGTGCTAGTTTTCAAGAGAAGATTCAAGGCTATCGAATGACTAATAATAGTTTCAATTCTTTTCGAATTCTCACCAAATTATCAGTGAAACAGTTGTCGACTACGCGACTGTACGCCCGTGGTCGCGCATGTGTTAAAATTCTTTTTATATAATTCAGTATGTCATTTTATAGCATTTTTTTTTTCTTTTACTGTAACCTGGCAGCACTCCAAAGCGAGACTAAAAAAAGTAATTTCCCGTTAAAAAGGCCACTAAAAAGGCCAAAAAATGTTTTTCAACATTTTGCTCTTTAATTAGAAGCCACAAAAACGAATGATTTGTTTTCTAATAAAATAAATTCCTAATAAACTCATCTAATTTTAGAGCAAATCTTCACGTTCTCCAGGTTTCTGTGCAAAATATTTCGGATTTTTTAAGTTCTTTGAATCGAGGAGACTCAAGTGAACAAAATGGATTGATGGCAACGGTAAAAGTTTGAAAAAAATAAAGCTTTCCTATCATTTGAAATTTTAAATCTTATAAAATCAAACTATTGGGTTGTCCAGTTATGGATGCGCGTTTGTACTATTTTGTAAATTTCTCAAGGTATCGAAAAGACGTATATGAGTGTTATATATCATTCGAAAGCTGAACATCTCCTCTACTCTTGTGCTCTTGCGCAAAAGCTAACGTACTCAAGTAATGCTAAACTTAAATCTCTTTCACCGGGTCCTTAAAGGGGAACGGCACTTTCGGTGTTCGTTTCGTTCTCGTTTCGGGTCGGTTCTCGATGAAAATTTCTATTGGCTTGTCCAGTTATGGATGCGCGTTTGTACTATTTTGTAAATTTCTCAAGATATCGAACAGATGTATATGAGTGTTATATATCATTCGAAAGCTGAAGATCTCCTCTACGTTTTGGAATAAAAAAGTTTTTGAATTCATTCAACTTTTTGGAAAATTGACTGCACAAAGGGAGAGGTCGTTTTCGAAAAAAAACCCATTCCAGCTTAGCTATTCCTCAAGTTTTATGCCGTAAAATAACCGCCCAGAAAAGAAAAGAAAAGTAAAGATGCTCTGAAATTGTTATATTTTTTAAAAAAGTTGTATTGATATATCTATTGGCCAAACATCAAACGGTTAACTCAATTTGAGCGGAGCCAAAACTTGATCCAAAGGCGCCCTTCCATTTTTTGGCCACCTCTTCTTCTGTGCAGTCAATTTGCCCAAAAGCTGAACAAATTCAAAAACTTTTTATATCAAAATGTAGAGGAGGTCTTCAGCTTTCGAATAATGCTCATCAATATCTTTTTCTTGATTTCGGTACCTTGAGAAATTTACGAAATCGTAAAAAACGCGCATTCATAACTGGACAACCCAATAAATTAAAGAAAAATGATTTCGAAAATAAGCAATTTCCATTTCAGACTCTTCCACCCAAACCGATCACTTCAAAAACTCAATTTTTCTCGATTAAACCCTTGTCGACAATTTCGAGAAAACCAAATTCTCAACAATCATCCATGAATGTTTCTTTTCACGAAACGAAGCAGATTTCCAAAAATTCCCCTTCAAATCCACCTCCAAATCGTCTTTTTCTTTTTATCCGAAAGCCGACAATCTCGAATTTCCCTCGTCGTTTTCATCCAATTCACCCGCCTGGCCCTGGAAATACCCTCGATCAACCACAAAATTTCACAAATCATTCGGAAAATCAAGAAAAAGTGAGAAAACCTATAAAAGTCCAGGTTTCACTGACAAAATCTTCTAACTTTTCAAGTCAAAAAATCAATCTTTCAAAGGAAACTGAGAAAATTTCATCAAAAACGAGTTCGATATCGAAAGAGGTGAATTCGTTGAGGAAAGTTGCTCCGATTAAAGTATCAAATCGAATTTTTGAACGCCCTTTGTCTACAGTGATTAAAGAGGAAAAACTTCGATTTGTCGTTGTGCCCGAGCTTCAACAGGTTGGCTTGATAAACTGAATAGAGCGACACGGATATCAAAACAAGTTAACATATTAATCACAACCTGTAATCTACTGTACCGTAGCCTTTATCCTTTAAATTAGTTACAGCATAACGTAACAGTCTAGAATTACAAGGGAATGTCAACTGGTTGCGCCGACCAAATGCTATGCGAACTATTCCATTCAACGCAGAATTTTACGCTCATTCCGAATCTGCTTTCCGTTTCTGCTAAGGAGCACTCTGTCAAAAGTTATAAGCATGCAAGCATGTTTTTTTAGGAACACCTATTACTCAAAAGCAAAAGAATTGGACTGCAAACTCGAGCCCTCGAGCATTGCCTTGTATTCAAGCCATTCAAGCCATTCTAGCAAGAATCTGCTCATGAACTCGCAACTTGATTTTTGAAATTCTTAACAAAACTTTACACGCCTACAACTTTTAACAGAGTGCTCCTTAACAAAAACGGAAAGCAGATTCGGAATTACCGTAAAATTCTACGTCGAATGGAATAGTTCGCATAGCATTTGGTCGGCTCAACCAGTTGATATTTCCTTGTTAGCTTGAATCCATCATTTCAGGATCTCACAATTTATCAACACTTCTCGTTGACGGGAGCTCGAGCATTGTTGAAAAGTCAGATGAAACCAATAGTGGTAAGTTGTACCGTAGATCGAATTCAAGAAATCTTTAGCTTTAGAACTTTAGAAAAGCTTTAGATCATTCCGAAACACTCCAAAACGCAGCCGGGAATGGTCATTGGAACGGGTGAGTTGGGGAAAAGGAGAAATTTGTCAATCACATAGTCTCGTTCTTTTGCATAAGCTCTTTTCGGTAAGGAAAATGCGCTAGAAAGTGCGCGAGTGCGCTAGAAATGGTTCGTTTACACTTTTAGACAAAAAGTACATCACAAAGAACAACTCTAAACAGTCATTAAAGGAAACGAAGTATCCTTTTTCAGTAAAACTTCCCGTTATGCCTTCGATTTCTGTGATCGATGACGAATTGCCTTTTGGAACTGGTACGTAATTTTATATTAACTTTTTTAGAAGTTTTCTTTTTAGAAATTTTCATGAATCGTTTAAAACATCGCCGAAAAAAGTTTATTCTGTCGGAAATTCGAAAATGAAATGAAAGAAATGAGGAAATACTCAAAAGAATCGTCTCAACATGATCTCAAATAAAGATTTATTGTAATAAATCTATAATGTAGCTTAAAAATTCTGATTTTTAACACTTATTAACATTACTTCACTGTTTTGTTCGACATTACTTCAAAGTTCACTTGCTTTCCCAATAATATTCATTTCTTTTCTTTCTTCTTCGGAAAGACATTCATACCTGAAAAGTGAAAGGATTTTGCGTTAAAGCTTTTTTCTAAATAGTGCTCTTGCGCAAAAGCTAACCAAGTAATCCTAAACTTAAATCTCTTTCACCGGGTCCTTAAAGGGGAACGGCACTTTCAGTGTTCGTTTCGTTCTCGTTTCGGGTCGGTTCTCGATGAAAATTTCTTTAATATAACATGTAGGTTAAAGTGTTTTAAAACGTCAAAATAAACCTAGAAACAATAAAAACGATCCGGCTGGAGTCATTTGAAATCTACCTCCCGCAAATACTGTAATATTCCCCCACCTCCCTCGTACAGTCGCGTAGTCGCAAAAGTTTTTTAGTATTTAATTTTTTTCGAAGCGCCCCGTACTTTCAAAAAATGCGTCTTTGGTATCAAAAAATAGCTGAAATTCAGGGCTATTTTTTGATACCTAAGCGCGCATTGTAGCATAAACCAGTGTCGAGAAAAACTCGTTCAAAGCTAGACTACGCAACACTCCGCACCGTCATTATGGGGGTCGGGTACTATTACAGTATTTACGGTAAGTAGTTAATCTACATATGCAACCGTTTTGATTTACTGATTTTTTTTTAAAATCTTATCCTGTCGTCCGCAAAGCAACAAAATTTCCTTATGCATTTAATAGTTTTGAAACATTTTTTTTTATTCTTCGACTTTCAACTATTCAACTATGGTCCTGGGCTTCCATCTATTTCATTTGAGGACCTTGATGATCAACAAGTAAACGCTCTTGCAAGTATTTTTGACGACCTTCTAAATCTCAGCAATAATGACGACGATATAGAAGAATAAAACCTTTGATTTATCAAGCTGCTTTTTGTTGTTATATGCTGTATGTTATCTATTTTTTTGGAACTTTTGGCTTCTTATGGTTAAATTTATCTTTAATTTTTAGATTGAGTTCGCCAACAGGTCATGATGAAGTATGACATCATCGCCTATAAATGTAGCATCAATGGACTTCATATAATTCCTTTATAGTTCTTCTATATTTCCTTTAAAGTTTCTTTATAGTTCCTTTATAGTTCTTCTATACTTCCTATTTAGTTCCTTTAAAGTTCCTTTATAGTTCCTTTAATGTTCCTTTATAGTTCCTTTATAGTTCCTTTATAGTTCCTTTTTAGTTCCTATTTGGTTCCTTTATAGTTCTTCTATAGTTCCTATTTGGTTCCTTTAAAGTTCTTTATCCGGATCGTTTCTATTGTTTCTAGGCTTATTTTGACCTTTTAAAACACTTTAACCTATGTTGTATTATAGCAATTTTCATTGAGAACCGGCTCTAAAGTGCCGTCCCCCTTTAAGAGTCAAATGCATGCTTGGAACGGCATGTTGTAAATGTCATGCGCTCATGCGCTCATGTGTTCATGCTTTCATTCGTTCGGAATGTTCATTCGTTTTTGCGTTCATGCATTCATGCGTAACCGTCCATGCGTTAATGCCTTTTTCTTAGTAAAGTTCATATGTCCATGTTTAGTAACTTTTCAATTATTGTTAAATTACAGTAAGTGGTATATACGTTCAATTTTTTCAAGAAGTTATTCCCAACTTTATCATTTTACTTGCTGAAACTTATGCACGCGTGCTAAGTGTATACACAAAACATTGTTAAATGGTTGCATTCGTCTTATATGGATGAAAAATACGCGTGTGTATAAGTTTACATAAGTTTCAGCAAGTAAAACGATAAAGTTGGGAATAGCTTCTTGAAAAAATTGAACGTATATACTATAATTTAGCAATAATTGAAAAGCTACTGAACATGAATTCCACTAAAGGTGGCGCATGAACGAACGGTGGCGCATGAACGGTGGTGCATGAACGGTGGCGCATGAACGGTGGCGCATGAACGGTGGCGCATGAACGGTGGCGCATGAACGGTGGCGCATGAACGGTGGTGCATGAACGGTGGTGCATGAACGGTGGTGCATGAACGGTGGTGCATGAACGGTGGTGCATGGACGTACGAACTTCACCAATGAACGCATGACATTTACATAATGCCGCTTGGAACTAGCGGTTTTAATGGTTTCTACTGTAATCAATTGCTATCGTGTCTCAAAGAAATGCTACGATAGCTTTTTGTCAGCTTATCTTATAGAAAATGAGATTTGATTGAAATTGACCTTGTTTAATCGTTTTTTTTTCTTAACGAACCTCTTTCTACCCATGTTCAGCGTTGATTTAAACCCATGACAACAACGTGGCCGTGGGTGAACACATTGTTTCTTTGGACAGGGGACTTCTTTCTCGAATGGACCGCTGGATATTTTAAAAAAAATAATATAATATCTTTAGAAAATTATATTAGATTAGCTGATAAGTTTCTAAATACCCTTTTTCGAATAAATGACAAATTCATCAAGTCATCTACAATTGGCTCTAATATAGAAAATGTTTTTCATTCGTTTTTCGATTTTTTTAAAAACACAATTTCGATCTATTTCCAAAGAAATCCAAATGGAAAAACTCGTTTTTCGTAAAATTCGAAAATTCGATAAAAAGCTCTACAATGAAATCAGTTGAACAAGCTGAGACTTTCTTAAGGATTTGGCTATATACCTAACTTCTTAAGCGCTATCTTTATCTAATTGACACAAAGATTGATTTCTGTAGACAAAAGCACCTAAATTACGTCTACGGGATCACCTTTTTTTATTTGACTATCCGACTTAGTGTTTTCATAATAAAAAAACCATAGACAAAAGATTTTCATAAAATTTGAACGCTATTTTTTTAGAAAAATAGTAGACCTTTCTAGTGGAGCAAACTAGACATAACGGACGATATTTTGGGTTGCTCCCGTTCGGACAATCATATCAGCGCACTAAATCTTGCTAGCAATTTGAAACTTTTTTCATCAGAAAGCCAATATTATTAGCTTCATTTTGATACCAAACATTCAGCAAAATTCTTTAAAATAGGACTCAAAAAATCACATTAAACCTTAAGATACCCTTAACGAGGCCTCGTTAAGTATCGGTCACCTTTTTAGAGTACTTTTTTGAAGATTTTTGTTGAATGCTCGGTATCAAAATGAAGCTGATAATCTAGGCTTTCTAATAGAAAAAGTTTCAGATTGCTAGCAACTTTCAATGCGCTGAAATGACTGATCAAACTTGAAGCCTCGTTAAGCCTCGTTAACAAGTCTAGAACAAACCGTAGAGCAATCGGTGAATTGGCTATTTCTAAATAGCTTTTCAAATGAAAGACTAATCGGTCAATAGCTATCTTTAGAATAATATAAAATATCTATTAGGTTGGCTGATTAGTTTGTTTTTAGTTAAAGAACCTTATCAATTTCTTCAATGAATCTTTCGAACGAATGAAATCTTGTGGAGGATTTTCTGCTTTGTTTGATTGTATATAAAATAAGATATTGTTTGACAAGCTAGCTTTTTGACAATTGAACAAGCTAACTTTTTGACAATTGAACCAGCTAACTTTTTGACAATTGAACAAGCCAACAGGCCAGCTATAACTGACCGAATTTGTCCGATTCGAAACAAACTTTTGAGTCAAAATCGTACAAATTTATCTATCTACAAACATTTGATAAAAGAACTACATATGAATGATGGAATATTTTCAGTTTATTTCTAAAGATATAAAGCGATCTGTCATTTTCCCCTTTTCCTACCTGCATTCACATCCATCCATGCACGTTCTCCGTTTCATTTTTGTCCCACATCGTCCACATTGATCAGTGCATTCTGTAGCCGTTTCCCATTCCTCAAAAAAAGCAATTTTTAATATATAAACAATTTAATATATCGAATATTATCTGAAAAACTCTAAAAACTATTTAACTTACAACTTACCGTATACTGTTCTTTACAGACTTCATCACTGAGCGCCAATGTTGCTAAAATTGTTCTTTAGCTGAAACGTTTAATAAAACTCACCGATAAAAGAAATTAGTAAAAGTTTAAATAACATTTTCTTTTGAGATCCAAATGAATCAATGGAATAGGTGAAATTTTTGTGAAAGTTGTCTTTGACAATAAATTTTTATTTGCACAAATCACGACACGTATCGACACCGGAAATTTGACTTATGAAAGAAGGAATTTTATTAGAAATCTTTAAATAAATGAGAAATCTCTTTAAATGATTAAATAAGATATCATCCAGTTTTTACTCTATCGAAAATAAGTCTTGAGTTTTCTATTTGATTGGGAAGAATGAAATGGCGCCGAACTTTTAAAGACACCTTTTTCCACGCATAAAACTTTCTTTAAAATACACGTTTTGCTCCACTTTTTCTCTATAAAATAAAGCTCCACTATTTCTCTAAAAAATGACTTTTGAGACATTCCACAAAGGTTTTCTTTTGTGGTGTTTATGAACTCTCAAACATAGCTAGTCAAAATGGTAAAGAGGCAAATGGCAACTCATCATTTTCTTCAGTTTCTTCCACAGAAACCTCCTATAGTGTCTACATAAAAAAGATAGAGCACACTCAATTACATAAGTTACCAATTTTCAGGAAGATCCCTCCAACCGTTTACTCTAGATGACAGTTTATCGATTTTGTGAAAAAATGATCCTTTGTTGAGTTGAGGCGCTGTTTGAGTTCTCTTTTAAATATTATTTTGTAGAGAATTAGTTACCCTTCTACGGATATCAAACGCATATCATTTGACAAAGTCTGCTATATTACATAAGTTTCCAAATTTTCAGCAAGATCCCTCTAACCGTTTTCTCTTGATGACAGTTTATAGATTTTGTATAAAAATGACCTTTTGTTGAGCTGAGGCGCTGTTTGAGTTCTCTTTTAAATACCATTTTGTAGAGAATTAGTTAACCTTTTTACTGATATCATTTCATGATATTATTATAATGACATCATGATAAACGTGTATCATTTAATGAAGTCTGGTAGAAGTTTTAGAAATTTCTTTGATTTTCAGCGCCATTTCATCCTCGTCAACCAAATAAAAGATGCGATTAAAGCAGCTAACAGCTCCCGTAATCCATAATCCCGTTCTTTTTAGTGAAAATATCAAATTTCTTAAACTTTGAAAGTTACCCTAATCTCTAGTTTCATTTAATTTATCTACTTCTTATCTGATTGAAAAGACAACAGCTAAAGGTAAGCTTAGAATAGCTTTCAATCATTGGTATGTTTTAGAAAACACACGAAGTGGTGATGCTGTGCTTAAAGATTGATAAATAAAAGATAGCTCTATAAAATGTTGATAAAATATTTATTGTTTTTCTTCTTTGTCCTCTTCTTTATCTTCTTCTTTATCCTTTTCTTTGTTTTTTTCTTTATCCTCTTCTTTTTCCTCTTCCTTGTCCTCTTCTTTATCCTCTTCCTTGTCCTCTTCCGTGTCCTCTTCCTTGTCCTCTTCTTTATCCTCTTGCATGTCCTCTTCTTTATCCTTTTCTTTATCTTCTTCTTTTTCTTCTAAGCCCTGAGCTGGCAAGCAAATGCCAACAAGTTTCTGATCATAAGTGACGCATTTGTAGAAAGCATTTATGTGTTCACATTGCTTATTCGCATAACAGTTTTCGTTTGGCTGAAAAAGTTATGGAAAGATTTTTTATTCTTTCCTTACCGCTGATTTTCCCATACAGACTTTATCATCATATATCGGCCCCTTTTTGATACAAAATGGAAGAGTTTTCGGGCAATCCTCATCATTTGCACACTGTTTGTAGGAAGCATGCTAGGAATTGTTTAGATATTTTCAACAATAAGAGTTGAATGCCGTAATTGAACAAAATGTAACAAAATTCTTGGTATCCTTAGTAAGTCAAAATTTCAAGCTAGGTAATTCTCAATCTAAAAACCTTTTTCGATTTTGATTTTGATTAAAAAAACTGCTGAATTCTAATAGATGACTAAATCTAAATCTTTGTCCCAACTAGAAATGATTTTAACAAAAAAATTCTGCAAAAACTCACTCCTTTTAAGAAAAAAACCAGTGTGAATGTAATAAAGAAAAACGAAAGAATAGACATTTGTTTGTACATTTGTTTGTACGTTTGTACGTTCGTTTGTGCCTGTTTCGGTGGAAATCGAAAAGTATCTTGTCTCTGAGTGAACAGAATTAATGAGAAGTCTATTTTAGGAAAGAAAAGGCAAGAATTTCTAAGTTCTATCAAGTAATCATCAAGATCTAAAGCTGAATGATCAAAATTGAAGAGAAGCATGAGCTGATTCGTTCACTAATTGAAGTTCTTATTGATTAAGCTGTGTCAACTTTGAAACACTCAAAATTTTCGAGGCTGTAAGGATTGGGTGGCAGTGGACGGGGCTTTCAAAGCCTTTGGCGCGTTGGCAAAAAAGTGTTCCTAGGGTTTTCGGGTACGTTGATTCGATTGGTGATATTTTCAGAACCTGTTTGCGACTTATTTCTTCTTGTTTTTAGAATTTCCTTTTAAAACAACAATAAATTGAAAAGTAAAGCAACAACAAACAATATGCAATTAAAACAAATAATATTTCCTAGCGGCCTATTCCCAAAAAAAATACAACAATTTCTCGGAGTTATGCTCCCATTTTCAAAGAGCTTCAAAGTAATGGTCGTCCCAGAGCTCCCCTTGATACCGTTTCTTATCCAATTAGCTGCAGCTATTCCCGTCATCTAAAAAAGAAATGTAGGCAAGCAAGAAAACCTAGGAAAACAAGAAGAAATAAGTCGCAAACAGATTCTGAAAATATCACCAATCGAATCAGTGTACCCGAAAACCCTAGGAACGCTGCCTAGAAACCTTTTAGCAACTTGCCAAAGGCATTTTGGAAGCCCCGCTCACCCCAACCCGTATAGCTCCAAAACATTGAATTTTTTCCTTTTTCTAACTCTTAAATGTTAACAGCAATCATTTATTCTCTTCTCAATCATTTTCATTTCTTCAATTTGATTTCACCACACCGGACATCGCGGTTCTTTCATTTTCAGAGAGGCATTCGTATCTGGAAAATTTTTGGGTCTTGTCTTTAAAACTGAAATTGATATCTGATGTTTTGACTATTTTAGATCTGAAATTTTGTAGTAGATATTTTGAACAAACCTCTTTCGTTCCCAATTGAGCGTTGGTCGGTATCCGGTATCGCAACGGGGACTTGGATGAAGACATTGCCTCTTTGGACATGTCACCTCTTGCTCAAGGGCACCGCTGAATTTTAGCTATAGATTTTTAAGATACCATATTTTCCCTAATAGTAGTGCACCTCGCTCGGATCAAGTTGATGGAGTTAATGACTATTTGACGATTTCCAAGCTCTTGTAAAAGCTCAAAACTCAAATCCCCCACAAGATCTCAACGTCAGCTACATTTTCCGATCCCACATCGATAGGTTCTGATAAGTGGTTTTCGAGATTTCGAGGAATTTAGACGAAGCTTAGGGTGCATTACTATTAGGAAAAATACGGTAGTTACAACAAGGGCTTTTCTTTGCAAGGATACTATTGGAAATCCATAAAACGAACAAACAATCCAAAATCCAAACTTATTAACCCGAGCTCATTGTAGAGCTCATTTAAAAGAATGACTTTTGGGTGAGGAAGTTTTACGCTGATTGATCGGATTTAAAAGAATTAACGATTTGAATCTGCCTTTTTATTTTACCTGCATGTGCATCCTGGTTTACACGTTCTTTTCGTCGTTTTTGTTCCGAAACGACCGCAAATGTGCGAGCATTCCGTCGATTGGTCCCATTCCTGAATGTGATGGACGGGATTTTGATTTGATTTTGAGTTTAATAAGATAAAGTGGTTAAAGTTAGAAAAATTTTAAATGTTGAATAAAAGTAGGCAACAAAAAATCTCTAGACAAATTTATCGAGTTTCAACATTTTTGATAGGAAAATGAAGACTTTTAAGATTAATGTTTTAAGATAATTTTTTAAAAGTTTTGATTATTATAAAAACATTGATCAAACCATCAATGGTACTTTAAACTTCTTAAAATCCTTTGTTTTAAAGATATTTAGTGAACTCACCGTATACTGTTCTTTACATTGCTCCTCCGTAGCAATCACCAAGCAGGCTAAACTTTGAGATTACTGAATATTCAAAAACAACTTACCAATAGAAGAAAGCAATAAAATTTTGAATAACATTTGAGAAGAGAAAAATTAGGAATGAAATGAAGATTTCTTCAACCAAAAATCCGATCGAATTCACGGGCATTTAACGTTTTCAACCATGTAGAAAAAATTTTTGTTTGCACAACCACTAGGATTTGTGGCGTGGACTCGACCGGAAGCGAATTTTCATGAAAATCAAAAATTGATATAAACTTTATTTTGATCTCAATCAATTTTAGAGAACGAGATTAGAATTAAGTAAAACGGAAAGAAAAATCAAATGTAAAAATCCTGTGTTTCAACGTTTGGATGTTTATTTTGGATGATGTTGAATGTTGAAATTATGCAATACATATCTTTCTCAAAAAAATAGGCAAATATAACGCCAAACATGTAGTCTAGCGTTAAAAGTTCATCTTTCAAGTTACCGTTTACTCTAATAGAAGTACCCCTCTTATAGGAGTGTCGCGTAGTCTAAGTTTACACTCAAAGAACCGCCCATATCTCGGCGCCCAGACATTTGTTTCTGCGCGCTTGGGTATCAAATTAAAGTAGAGAGGATGGGTAATTTTTTGAGATATAACACATATTTCTAGCATTAACCAGCGCTTAGAAAAATGATGAAAAATCGCTTTTTGCCACTATTTTTTGCACAAGCTCTAGATTATCCAAAATTGCTCTGCTCTGGGATGCTGGTTGTTAAGCTAATTGTGTAGTTAATTTGTTTTTAATACTCTATTTTTAACTTTTAGTGGAATTTGGTTCTTTCGCGTGGGTTGACATGCCTATTTCGATGAGACAAACCTTCTCAAAACTCACCAACCAAGGATTCGTACTCATAGACATCTATTTATAGTAAGTTTTCCTGCTATTTAAGCTAATCGATGAGTTTATTTATTTTAGCCAGATCCATCAACACCAGGCCCCACACCAGCACAAGAAAATGGAATCACTTTTGGAGAAGGTACCGATGATCGCTGGTCATTCTTTGTTCAACTAGGCTCCTGATGCGGTTTGTTTTTTTAAAATCATTCTTCCTTACAATTAGTTTGAATTCATCAGCGATTCTTTATCAAATTTGGTTGTTTAGCACTACAAAAATTAATTTCAACGGGCTCTACAAATGGCAAAAGAACTAGAGGATCAACGATGACTTCGGCTGTCGCTCAGGATGCTGCCACCAGTGCAAAAATGCCAGTACGGTTTCTAATTTGCTTTTTACGAAATTTTATTGAAACTAAAATGATTTAATTAACGCTAATCTTTGTTACTGATTTATGTTTTTAGTCGACAAGGTGCATCGACAAAGAATGAAGCCGAGAAAGAAGCAGAAAAGAAAAATAACGGACATGACAAGAGAAAGAATCTCATTTAATTTCTTTTTGTCTATTGTATGCGAAAAATTTTCTGTGATTTGTGGTGACTTAAAGTGGCAAATCATTGTCCGGGTACACAAACGATTCCTCGTCCAATTCCTAAACCGAACTCTGGGCTGTTTTTGCACAAATTTTCTCAAAAATTAGCATACAATTTAAATTTTCATGTTTTTTTTCATTTTAAAGAGCGGCGAGTTCTTACTTTCCTCATTTATCTTCATTTTTCCCTTGTGACATGATTGCTGCGGTACGTTTTTTCTTTATCTTCATTTGTTTAAGCATTGATTTTAATTTTCTTCATTTACACTTTCATTTAGTTAAACTTGCGTTCCTGCTTCACATGGGGCCTCTTCTTCACTTGGGGCATCAAGGTGATTCTCTCCCATTTCTACTTCATCGCTTTCGTCTGTCTCGCCGCTTCTCTCAACAATAGTACGTTTTTGAAACTTGTTTCGCTTGGCAGTAAAACGGTAAAAGCTAAATTTTTGCGACTTTTAAAGAGTTAAGATTTGTTTTTTGAGCACAAAATAAATTTACTGCTCTAGACGCCCTTTGGGTGAGCTCTTCCTACGTTGCGACCGTCGATAAACACCCCAAACAACCAACTATTGTAAGTGTTTTCGAAATATTTTAAGATTTACAGTTTTCTGCAGTCGTTTTAAAGCCTGTAATTCCCTTTTTTTAGTACGCCTTCAAGTTGTCCCTCTATTGCACCGAGCACTGGGCGACTACTCTGGAAGTAAGGGTTTTTGAATAGGATTTTTGACATTTTTAGGGTATGCTGAATATTTTATCTAGTACGATAACCTTTTTGTTTTAACAACTTTCCAGTTTAGAGACGCGAAAATGGCTCGGGCGTGAACACAGAAGCGTCATTTTATTGTGAGGATCCGATGGTTATCGAGTTTTTGGTGAGTTTTTGTGTTTAGTTGACGAACTTTTGGTAGAAAGATTCTTTTAGAGAAGCTATGCAATGAGCCATCGGTAATATGCTTGCATAAACCATTAATTTCCTTGTACAAGCTCTTTTTTAGGCCGATGCCCATCAGCCAATTCTATCAGCGGGTTTTTCGATGGCCTTCATGATTCTCGCATTCTTCGCCCTCTTTACCGCCACATTTTTTTCGATTTGGAAGGTTTGTCTTCTTTTTTATCTACAATATTTTGTAATGACTTACTATTAGGTCTTATCTTTTTGGCACCAAATAGGAAGAGTTGCACAAACTGTAAAAGTTCATTGTTCATTTTTAGGTATTTCGCAAAAACCACTTCGCGATTTTGTTGTGGGTGATGTTTCTGTTGTTCATCTTGCTCTCAATTATCACATCGGGTGTGGCGGCAAGAATGGTCAAAGATTTGAAGATGGATTTTGAAAGTAATTGCGCTTTTTTAAATGAATATAGATATTTATCTATGGAATTTATTAACAGGCTCAGTAAAGCGCAAACGTTTTTGTTAAACCTTATTTCTTACCAAATTGTGTAAGATTTTAGTGCCACTTAATTGAGTACTTCTTAAATCTTAACAATAGCTACTTTAAAGTGCTTTATGTATTTTTTGATTGTAATATTCTCTTTTAGAGACACTCAGTGGTCAATTCGAGCATTCCGATAGCGGTCACTCAAGCTATTTCTCCAATTTTCCGTCAATTATCGAGAAGAATTCAGACGGAGTAGGTTTTTCTAATAAAAATTCTAAGATCTGGAAGAAAAGTTTTATTGGAAATGACAGATTTAATGTAAAGTTTCTTTTAGACACAAAATTTCGAAATAACAACCGGTTCTGCCCATCATTGTTTGGTCGTTCACATGTTTTTCGCCAGTCTTGGTTGGCTTTTTAGTGACCTAATGGTGACTATAGTATTTAAATCTTAAGGTTTAGATTATAACGTTATCTCTTTGGAAATTAGTGGAATTTTTTTAGTGCTATTGTTGGGTTTTTGCGTTGTGATCGTTGACGGAAGTCTCCAATGGGCGGCTGCACGAAAAGAGAAAAGGGAGAAAAAAGAAAGTGAAGAGGTAACATTATGTCTTAATTCACTTTGGTATTAGTTCCCATTTCCAGGCTGTTCCATTATCATCAGCATCACGAATGGGTGGTCCTTCTCAAATCACATCACTTTCTTCAACTACTCAACGTCCTTTCATTGGACCGACTCCAACTGATGGAGAAACGATGAAATTATCGGTGAAAGTGGGTGAAGCTTGTTTAATTAAGTACTACTAGCTTACAAGTAGTTAAATTTAAATGTCATTATCTCAATATTTTTTTCTAGGAATTCAATAACTCATCCAGCAAACGTGTCCACATTGGAAGTGGATCAAAGCGTGACTCGGTTCGATCAAATCTGAGAGGTGTGTTCGAAAGTTTTGCTTTTAAACTTATTTCCTTAGCTTATCCCTGTTTTTATAGATATCTCAACATCGAACTCGGTGATGCCAGGAAAAGGAGAAGCTGGTCGAAGTGGATAAATAAAAAAAATTTGGACTCAAGCTTCCTTTTGAGCCTCCCGAAAATCTTTGAAACATTTGCTTTTTCTTTATTGTGCTCAGTGCCTTTTCTTGTGGTGATTCGGGTTCGTTTTGATGAATAAATGGGGCAAACTGGGTATTACAAACAATGCAATGGAAAAACACGTGAAACAAACAGCAAACGTATCCACATTGGAAGTGGATCAAAGCGTGACTCGTTGAATTTGACGTGTTGAATTTGACTTTCTCACATATTTTTGGCTAGCTTTTTTTGCCATTTCTTTCTGGCATTTTTGAATTTGTAGATATCGATCAATTAACTTATCTCATTCAGATCTCTCGAAATGCTACCGGAACTTCTGTTCTTCAAGGATCTAGATTCTTTTGAGCTGGCACCTGAATATTTGGAGATAGTCTATCTAAAGAAACATTTTCGTTTCAACTATCCGCTCAAATCGAACGAACGGAAATACTGGGTGCAATCATTTCCCAGGATTCAGATCACGATTTCTGATATGATGTTGCAGGTAGTTTAAGTTTTACATTCAAAATGGATCCTTTTGAAGACTGTGGGCACGACTGAAGTTTGGCAGGACGCTCTCCTGGTCAATTTATCCGTCGATTTTGAAGATGTGGCACAGCTAGGAGAGATGGCCTCAAAACTCAAAAACATGGGAGGCTATAAACAGGTTTATATTACCCTGATCGTGTAGTCCGTCTACGCATACCCGAGAATCGAGTCGAAATTGCTTGTTTAGGTGCGCCCAAATCCGAAAATCACTTCCGAAGACGAGGAATTCTCGAGTGATGGGGATGAAGAAAGTGATGAGATGGATCTCAATATGTTGGTTGTATTTGCATTAAAGGATAGCTCATTTACATTTGAAAAACTAGCTGATAAAAGCCGAAAGTTTTCAATCTTTTCAAAGACTTTCTTCATCAGTCAACATTCTTCGTGACCTTTTTTGATTACCGTATTTCTTCTAATAAACGCCGCACTAAACTGATGAAGCCCCGCCTACTCTGAACTACTCTGAACTCGGTGGTTTTTGACTCAATCTTGGTCACAACAAGGTAAGGGATCACGTAGGACCGTCCCTTGGGAGGTTCTCTCACCTCTTCCACAATTCCCAGCTTTTCTTGTTATTCGATTGATTCTGTGATTGCATTCCACAGACTCGGATTCTTGCTTGCTGAATCCCACCAGATGTGAAGCCTTTTTAAAGCAACTCGAAAATTTGTCCCTAATTCTCCTTGAACTCCTTCTCGAAATGGTAGAGCAACGACAACTCTTCCATCTTTCGACATCTTCACATTTTTCTCAAAATGCTCGAATACATAAGTTTTCGGAAATCAGAATACTTTTATAGTTCTTACATCTATACATAAATCTTGATTAGTTATCTTCGTATTATTCACCGATTTTACATTTTTCTTTTAGTCTCATCGGAATGGGACCCAAAATCATGTTTCATGATGTTGCTGCAGGTTTCACGGTCAATGCCAACTATTTTGAACTCACCTATAACGGTGAGAAGTATCGCTTCATCCACGGCAACGTGAATCCTCCGCAGCGGCGTCGAAACCAGCAGCTGACTCGTCAATTTACCACCAGACGCGGATTGAATTCTGTACCGACTCGTTCATCTGCTCATATGCTAATCACGGGAGTAATGTTAAAGGTAGGAAATTTCTCTTATAAGTTGATTGATTGGATTATTTTTAGAAAGAAGATCCCCAGAAGGTCTGGCACAATGTGGACATAATGGATGTTTACATTGAATTCGGTGGGGATGGTTGCCAAAAAGCTTATGGTGATTTGGCGCACGATTTGAAAGCCCAGGGATACGTGGATGTTTCACGAGGTTCGGTTTAATGTTTTAAGAAATAGCTCGAATTGATTAAATCTATTTGCAATAATCACTCATAATCTATGTAGGATGGAGCCTTTACGGAGAGTCATTAGCATTGATCATATGAAGATTCATTTTCCTCAGTCTTTGATGGTCAAAATATAATAATTGTGTCTAGATTTTGATTTTGAGACTTCAAGCTTCATTGATTTTTTTCAGGATAAGCTGCCCGAGACCATGACAACAATTACTGATTCGACAGGATCAAGCTTCTGTTAAAATTTTTGTCGTTCTTTCCCAATAAATGTTTTTCTTTTGTTATATGGCCTACCAATCCGTTGATAAATGGCGGATCCTACGGTTATGAATCAAACCAGACATTATCTTGGTTTAATTATGTTATTATTAATTGTTTTACTTTCATGTCATTTTGAGGGATATCGAGATGGCACCACCCCGAATCTGTTTCTTTGATGTGAATTCACCAATCACTGTGACGGGCAACCACTTCGAATTCGCTTACGGCGGTGTAGCCTACCGTTTTCTTCATTGTCATCTGATCTCATTTGATTTTATTGAAGTTAAAATGATTCGATTAACAATGCAATGGAAATTGTATAATAGAAAAGGTAGACCACCGTTTTTATAACAAATGATTCAGACCCCTCTTTAGTTGTTTCCATTTTGAAACTTGAATCATTTCGAAATCCCTGTTATACATCTGTTTTCTTTAAAAATCCAGGTGTCACTTCTTGGCGTTTCAAAGTAAGAAAAGGGAATTCCCAAGAAATTCCAATCCCACCAATCTCTCATTTTCATCAATCAATCTCACCCAAAAATCTGCTCGTTTTCTTTATGAGTCATTCAGGTTTTTTGATCAACACTTGCAAAATGCTTTGATTAGGAAATTTGTGAACTGAAAGGATTTTGGGTATAAGGTTTCTCACAAAAAAGAAAAGGTACTGTAGATACAGTCGAACTTCGATATAACGAATTTGAAATTCTGAAACGTGCCCAAAATTTTGCCTAGCTTCCCCATCCAAATGCAATCAGTGGTCGTCCAGGGCAGCTACGCAGAAAATTTGAGGCACGTTTTAGGTTCGTTATATCGAAGTTCGACTGTAATTTTAAATCCACTATCGTATAGGTAGTAGACGAAGTTAGTGAGAGTGCAAAATAGAAAAAGGATTACGGTAGAAAGATTCGATTTATCGATGGTTTCTATTTGGCGCTAACTTGACCAAATCTCCACCTAGTATCATACCTACCAATACGATTTTTTGTGTTCCCCGATCACTTCAATTCATCTCTACTTTCATTACTCTCTATCCACATTTCCTAATTGATCAGGAAATGGAGAAAGTTATCCAAATCAAAGAGAAAAAGGTGACTATGCTCAAAAGAATTACTTTGCCTTTCTTTTGTGGGGTTAGCCTTGGGATGGTCGGATTTTTTTGTGAGTGATGGATCGAGTGGGGGAATTTCCTTTGGTGAATCACATGCTGAAAGGTACGGTAGATTTTCTAAAAAATTTTTTAATTTTCATTTGTTTTTGGTTTAGCTTTTGTTTATTATTGAATGGAAAAGTCCGATTTTTCCGTTTGTGATTGCCAAAGTTGAAAAATGCTCTTTATGCGGTGATAAGCATTAAATATTTATCTCAAAAATTGCAATACAATTTAAAATATTTGAGTTAAAGTATTATAACGTTATAACAAACGAAATTTGTGTAAATTCTAACATTTTTGACACATTGAACAGTAAAAGTATTGGGTTGGTGAATTGAAAACTGCCTGCTATTGTAATCTCTGACAGTTTGAGCACTTTCTTCAAAAGAAACCCATTTTGGTCTCAATGGAAAAGTTGTAGAGAATCAAAAATGGAGCTTATATCCAAATTTTCAGAACGATTCAAAAACTGATTTTCAAGAAATACCAAATTTAAAAGAAATGCCAAATTTTCGCAAAACTTGCATTTTAAGCGAAACTACTAAGTGTATCTTTTTGGAAATTTGGCTATAAGCCTAATTTTTGATTCTCTACAACTTTTCTATTGACACCAAAATGGGTTTCTTTTGAAGAAAGTGCTCAAATGCTCAAACTGGGACATCTCCAGTCCTCGATTTTTGAGTCTCACACTTGTCTCACACACAAACCAAAATCCTACTACGAAAGAGGAATCCGCAAATTGCCTGTAAAATGGGCAGAAGTCGTCAATAATAATGGAAATTATGTTGGAATGAATTTATGGTTTTATGTTGAATAAATTTTAGTTCAAAGTCCGGCAGTTTTCAATTCACGAACCCAATAGCAAACATACCATCTCAATCAGTTATTAATCCATTTTTTTTCGATTTCAACTTAAATATTACGTAATATTTACATGAATTGCTAGTTTTATTTAGTTTTTCATTTAATTTCGATTTTGAATGCATTTTGTTTTTTGCAGATTGACCGCAAAAGACAAAACCAGCTCGTTCATTCACCATCAATGAAAAGATTTTCGCTAGGCGAACTCCCTTTTTGCAAGTTTTGCGAAATCGGGTTATGATTTCGGCAGAAAGAGAAAAGTGATGAGTAAATCATTTCATTGTTTTCTTGTAAAAAACGGGAAAAGAAATATGAAGAGCTGAAATGACGCAACGGTGGGAAAAACGCCCAACCGCGCCCACCAAATTTCCCTCGTTTTTTTCTCTCAATGAGTTTTCAATGGTTTCCTTTTCTTCCCAGATTACTCATTTCGATTCACATTACGGTATTGAAAGAGTGACTTATAAAAGCGAATGGCTTAACACATCGTTTAGTCTGTTCTTTGAGCGGAAAATTTTCAAAATTTTGACTTTCACTGGCTAATAGGCCAATTTTTAAGCCAAATGCACACCTTTTAGTCGTTACAATCATTCATTTACAACATTTACGGCTTATCATTCATTCAAAATCTATTCAATGTGCACTTCTGGTACTATAGAATAAGATGTTTGAAAGTTTTCGACGATTAAAATTAGGCCAAGAAACGAATCATAAAAGATTCAAGCTTTTTTAGTCAATTCTTGAATTTTACCATTATGACTTTCATTTTCCTTCAAACGCATTGAAGTTTTCTGCTTGATTGAGTCTTTTCAATAAGTCCATGATCATAATACTA